AACATGGATCACCGCTCGCCATCGTGGCAATTTTGTTTTTAAAAGAGATTTGATGTCATAATGAGATCATTGACTATTATCATTTCCGAAGCTTAAACGCACAGCAATTTGTTGTTATATCGTGGATTTCATTTTTTATTATTTGTGTCGTATTTCTCCAAAGTTTATCCCTTTTTTTCATGAATAAAGGCCATCTGATTGTACGTAGTGTTTCACCTTTTATGTTTATCTTCTAAATCAGTATTAACCTTGAGTTATAACTAATTGAATTTAAGGTGCCAATAAATACAAGTGACCTTGAGTGAGAAACAGTTGCCAACGTTTAAAATATTAGCTATAAACACTCCGCACCTTTAATAATAAACTGAATTAATTCAAAATTTACGTTTTTCGAGTTTTCAACAAATACCAAATCAACTTCATCAGTAGAACACGAACAATCCAACAGCCGACTCGATACCATGAAAATGGCAGAGATAAGAGATCGTCGTTCTCTTTTTGACGAACTCGCACGTACATGAATGTCAAACTTTAAATGCGATTTCCCACAATATTGAAATTCTGAGTTAATTCAGTTTATGAATAAAGGTGCGACTCGAACGTAATTTTTTCAACACTGTTCCCGCCAAAGTCTACAGCTGAACAAAGACGATGTCTTTTTTATCATTTTTACACAACAAAGGCAGTCAAGATTTGTCTGTCTACGACTGAAAGAGACATATGTATTATATTTAACAGTGGACGTCTACTTTTTGATGTGTTGTGACAATGTAGCAACACATCACGTCACGAGATCCCATTTAACCCTCCAATGCGTCTAGATGACGTGGTTAAGATGCTGTGCATGTGATGTGTCATCTAAGATTTAATCGTATTAATTTCTAGTTACGTATAAAAAAAGAGAATAACATCGAATATTATTTCAATGACATTGAAAAAACCTTGTGAAATGGTAAGTGCTACAGGAAAGATGGATTAATATAATGCATAACAATATTAACACACAGTAGTAAATGAATAAATGCATATATTTTTTATGCTCACGAGTTAATTAATTTAAATCGTATGTTTACTCGCATTAGACTAAGATACACACGTATTACTTTGTTATTCAAAGAAATGATAAGGTAGAGAATGCTATGTATTAACATCATCGAATCTCTGCAACCCAAGGGCATCTAATCATCCCGAAGTCACCTTTAAGAGCCAAAACTGTACTCCTGATATGAGGTTTAGTGTTGTGTATCTATGATGAATATCATCTATCTCTTCATACACAATCCAACGGCAACCTAAAATAAGGCGTAGAAAACATAAGTTTAAAATGAAACCAGTATGTGAAGAGCTACGTTATACTGTCAGCATTAGTCCATGGTATGTCGGATACCAGAGCCGTCAGACGAAAGTCTATTGTTAGATTAACATAGTTGTACGTATGGTAGATTCAACGTATCGCCTTTCATGAGCGTCTTCACCATGCGGGTGCGACCGGTTTATTGAGTAGTAAGAATGAAGGTCACAGGTAAAGAGCGAATACCATTCAGTTCTAAATGTTTTTAAAACCCATTGTAAGTATAAACCCCATGATTGAATATCTTCCAAAATCTTTAAATATATTTCTGTGAAAATATTTTAACAAGTATCGGAAGTATTACTAGCGTGTCCAGTATACTAAGGCACGTCAATATTTTTTTGTTATTTTAGTATTCTAATATCTTTGTAATAACATGTTGTCAATTGTTGATGATATCATCTATATGAAATATCATTCCAAATCGGTGTAGTACAACTGTCTCCAGATCAGATTTAAAGGTTTCAATAGTTCTACTAATTAGCGATTTTTTGTCAATATAGTACGAGATCCCGCTGCAGGATTGGTGCGTTCATCGATTTTTTGTTTAAAACCAAATTTTTATGTTTATTTATAATTAGAAGAATATACATTTACTAGGGTGCCTATCAAAATTTGGCCGCATTATTTTTAATTAAATTATTTTTAACTGATTTTTGGTTAAAAATTTCGTTTATTTATTTTTTAAATAAAATAACGTCTACATCACGGTAATTAATATGAAGATTCTAAAAAATCACGGTTGCCGTTGCGCACCTGGCCGCACCTCTTTGCAGCCTGGTGTAAACAGGTATGATTTCGATAAATTTATACGTTTATAACGTATATTTATCAATTATATGTCAAATTGAAACTATTTTTTTTCTATTAATTTTCATATAAGGTTGCTTAATTAAATCTGGCCGCAAATAAGGGTTACTGGCTGTTAAAGATGATAAATATTATAAGTCCTCTCTATTACTCCCCGGTGGTTGAGAACACTAACATTCTACGCATGCGCAATGGCTTAAAAGCGTCGCACAGCCGGCAACCGCTGTCCTTGTCTGACAAATGACGTTACGCGCTAACTCTCTTTCACTCTACCTTAAATATTTATCATCTTTAACAGCCAGTAACCCTTATTTGCGGCCAGATTTAATTAAGCAACCATATATGATAATTAATAGAAAAAAATTAGCTTCAATTTGACATATAATTAATAAATATACGTTATAAACGTATAAATTTATCGAAATCATACCTGTTTACACCAGGCTGCAAAGAGGTGCGGCCAGGTGCGCAACGGCAACCGTGATTTTTTAGAATCTTCATATTAATTACCGTGATGTAGACGTTATTTTATTTAAAAAATAAATAAACGAAATTTTTAACCAAAAATCAGTTAAAAATAATTTAATTAAAAATAATGCGGCCAAATTTTGATAGGCACCCTAGTAAATGTATATTCTTCTAATTATAAATAAACATAAAAATTTGGTTTTAAACAAAAAATCGATGAACGCACCAATCCTGCAGCGGGATCTCGTACTAATACGAAGGCAGAAAGTAGGATCCAAGTAAAAGTAAAAAAAAAGTATTGTACCAAAATTGCCTATATTAGTTTTTTAAGTGAATACGATTTATTTTTTCTCCTTACAAAAGGGAACCACCACCACCACCCACAGTATATAATCTTATGGGTGGTAAAAGTAGTCAATTTACATTAAGTCACACGCAAACACAACTGTAAACTTACAAATGCATTGAAAATCGTAATAACATTAACATGCAAACAAAAATACTTTATCTATCGATCCTAAAATTCAGACAAGGCAGCAAGGGACTTTAAGTGTCTGAGTACTTTAATTTTTTTTTGCATTTACCCGATGGCGACGGTTAAACCGTAACATTCTGTTACGTGTTTTTATCACTCGACTTTTTACAGTTTTCCTAGCAACAAGATATAGTTTCAATTACTTTTGATGTCTCAATGTATTTTTTCATTATTGACATGGTCTATCATTAATTTATTAACGATTAATTTAGACATCTTCATGTATACAAATGTGCAAGCTGAAATGAAATCCATATTCTCAGTACATCAAGGTACTTTTCACACACGTCAGTGTCACGCTTTTTATCGTAGTATTTTGAGATTATTTAAAATGATTTACATCTTTAAACATCTCTCTACCATAATATAAGTTTGCTTCTTAGCAGTACCTGCACCATAAAAACTTTGATACTTATCTGACCTGCCGCATACCAAGAGCCGAGTAATGGGCATTCTTATCGCGCTGTGTAGCTCCGATGTTACGTGAACCGATTTTAAATGCCAAAGGGTATGTCTTTGTTAGCATTGATCGCCTAATAAGTGTAATATATCATAATCATACGGCCAGACAACAACGTTTATATTTACAACAATAATGTTGTTCTTTCTTAAGCAATGGCGTAAGAAAGGTGCTTTGTCTGACTTTCTGTATAGCATTTATTAAATCAGGGTTGGAGTATGATTAGAACGGATTCCTAACACGTGTCACCTCATAAATGATAATATTTAAATACAAAATGTATAATACCTAGTTTATATAACGATACCACGCTAATATTAGCGTGACCGAGTGACATTTTAAAATATCTCGTGTATATTATGAAATTAATGGGTAGAATAAATTTAAATAAGCTTAAACTGTTTTAATTTAACCTATTTACGATAAGCAAAAAAATAAGTTTTTGTTATCTGGTTTGTTACTTAAATAGATTTTTCTCGTTACGTAAAGCTGTAATTCCGTGTTCCTTTTTTTAAATCATCAAAACGTACACATTTTAGAGGCTTATACAAAAAAACGAAAGAAAAAATGCTTCGTCTGACTTCGCCTTCGGTCTTTTTCAGTGTGAGAACTTGTCATGCGGGTATTTGTGACTTCGAATTTCAATATCAGCATATCTATAAAAAAATAAATAATATTGTTACACTAGCCAATACTAGGTTGACTGCCAACGCAACGCTACACGCAATAGTATAATTAGTCACCTAGAGAATTGGGGGCTCGATTTTATTGTGCAAGAGTTATTTAAAAAAGAACACTCGAGCTAAAGTTTCCATTGCTGCCCCTTAATATAGTCACTCATCATGCTTCGCGAGTTCGCGACCAACCGTAACCCCAATGATAAGGTTTTAGATAACTTACGAACGCACTTAAAACAAAATATTATACCACTTAACCAACTTAGTTACCTAAAGTAAATTCGTGAAATCGATTTTCAAGTCGAAACTAATTGCTTACCAACCAATTATTTTTCCGTCAACCTACTTACCATAGGTTGTAGGTAGGTCCATTTCAAAGCATTGGGTCACGTTAAACATAAACATATTGGCTGGCGTGACATCATGTGTTGCGAACAAATATGTTACTTATTACGTCATCAGTATCGTTTTTTCAATAACAATTCTTAAAGTGAGGTCTTAAGACTGTTGTCGGTACAGAAGGAAACAGAAATATAGATCTCTTAACAAGGTTATCAATACAGATAACCTCTTAATCACACCGCCATTTTACATTTCTTTGGAGTACTTAACGCAAAGGTCACATACCATACAGACATGTCTCTACATAGATTTTATGTTCTAAAACCTCTTTTTTTAAATAGTGTTGTTTTTTTTCAGCTCTTGGGCCTGGCTATGATAGGCATAGGAGTGGCATTCCAACTAAACTGGACAGTCGTCAAGGATGAAATTAAGTCTCACCTAACGGTCGCACCATGGGTATTCATTATAATCGGCGCAGTAATGTTCGTGATAGCCTTCTTCGGTTGCTGCGGAGCAATACGGGAAAGTCACTGCATGGTTGTCACGGTATGCTATTTTTTTCTTTTTAAATCTAGGTATGATAATTGTGCAATAAATATACAAATCCGACGAATTGATATAAGATCTGTGAATGCAAAAAAATCATTATTATGTTAATATCGTTATTTAGTTTTGCAACACGCCTAGCTGACATAAGTCAGCTAGGTTACCTTATAGCAGATAGTTCAAACAATGCGTTCTGAGTTCAACATCGCGATCCCCTTAGTATTTTAAAAATTGCAGGCCTTAAAGTATGAGCGATTCGATTGACAAATACTTTGCACCTCACGTTTTCACAACAGTCATTGAATGAGCATTATTCCTGAAGAATCATTGGAATGTAAACTGAACTTCCGCTCTTTGACGTAATAAAGAATCCAATATATCTATAGGGACAATGAAACGCTTATTCAAGTGTTTGTTCTAAAGAATCAAACATGGGATCATCAAATTTGTTTATTGATTATCTAACATGCCAATGTATGTTGTTGTTGTGTGTAAATGCCTAACGCCGCTAATTTATACCTGCAACTTAAGAGTTGCGTTGCCGCCCTATGAGTCCACGGCCCCAGAATCAGGAGAAGGCTTGGTTTAAGCTCCGGTGACCTCATTCACTCGGTGAAAAGCTACTAAAGAACTGCTCAACACAGGTTTTCTGTGAGGCCGTGGTATCATTCCGGTCGAGTCTGCCCATTTGTGAAGAACCATGGCTTTCCCACGGTTCTTTCGTACATATAAGAATGTCGATATACTGTTTGAGATTCACACTAACGAAACTTAACTAAACCTTATGTAATATTATTTTGTTTGTTCCAGTACGCCATCTTCCTTCTCGTCATCATTATCGTGCAAGTTGTGATCGCTGTCCTTCTCTTCACATACGGAGACACTATTAAGCAAGGTTTGATGAGGTCTGTGAAGACGGTCTTCGATAAACGCTCCAGTTCTGATGTTGACAAGGCCACAGAGACCGTTATCAACAATATTCAACAACAGGTTAGTAATACTAAATAGAGTAACAAGTTATGATGGACGGAAAAAGCTCAGCGTCCTCAAAAGCTTTTAAGCTCCAAGCTACCGACCTACTTTTCGGAAATTTAGATGATCCCATTGCAATTTGCCTAGTATTTTTACAAACTCCGTTGTCATTCGGCAACTCGTCCGCCTTAATATCGCTCTAATTTTCGGCGATATATATATATACGTATTTCTGAATATCTCAGGAGATCTGAATCTAGATCTGATTACCTATGGAATCATCGGAAACTAGTCAAGTATCTTAAAAACGCTCTTGCCTTTTTTTCAACAGAGATGAAATCTGAAATTTACCAATATTTTCCAGTTCGAATGCTGTGGCTACAGTAGCCCTCAGTACTACGGTTTGAAATCAATTGTTTCGTTGCCCGACTCCTGCTGCAGCGCCATCGGACCCTATGGCACCTTGATTGGAGGCAAGTGCACTATGGAAAGTGCAAACCCTGGCTGCGAGGGTAAGATCGCAGACTTCTACGACAAATGGGACAAGCCTATTGCTGGTGCTGCTATTGGTGTTGCCTGTGTTGAGGTAATTGACATTTATATTTGGAACATAGTAACTTATATTAATGGTAGAATTAGTGGTAAAGATTTCATCGAAACTGTCGTTATCGGGTAACAACAGTCTAAAACCTATTAGATATTATGAAAGAACATGTTATTATATTGTAGGCATTACGTATTGTTTAAAATTATAAAATTTTACCTTTTAGGATGTCAACAAAACTAAACAAAGAAGTTTCATGAAGAAACTTTATTTTTTATTCAACTATTTAAGAACGGGATGGCTCTTGAATTACTGTCTGTTATTGTCCAGATTTCAATAAATTTATATGACATACAGTAGTACACGAAACCTTCGTTCTCTAAAATAGTTTTTTAAATTGTTATTTTCTCCAATGTTCCAGGTGGTCGGCGCATTGTTCGCGTTGTGTCTCGCAAATTCCATAAGAAATATGGACAGAAGGTCTCGCTACTAATATTTTGTACATTAAAACTGGTACCTATGAACACAATTTATTTTTTGGTTCTCTTTTGTTGACTAATTTACGAGTGAACTGCTCACTGCATGGCTGACTAAAATGATTTTTTTTAAAGGGGCATTAAGCACAAACGCTACTTATGGCGTCTGCGCATTATTATTGTCTAAACTCTTTTTTCTAATTGGTTAAAATATTGTTGATTCGTATATCATAAAGTTATGATTCGCAGCGCTTTAAGTAGTATACAAATAGTTCCCGAATCCCACTTGAACTTGGGTGTCCAATGTTTCATAAGTTTTATATATTTGCTAATGTTTTTGCTTGATGGTGTCAAGTGGTGTTCGCGATAACTTTATAAAGTACCTACTCTAAATTACGGAAATTTTGTCAAAATTACACTCTACGGGGGTTCGGCATATAAAGTACATTTTGAAAATGGTTGGTTATGATTAATCCTTACACGATTAAATATTTCGTTTTATGCCGTTTTAAGATTCTAGTCTTAGAACGGCATAAAACGAAATATTTAATCACTCGTATAATTTACATAACTGACAGCATTTATTAAAGCCTACTTAATCTTCAGGTTTTAAGTTAATTCCATTATACAGGTGTCACAAAATGGTGTGGGTAGTCATATTATATTACGTTGTAGTGAAGACGCAAATCGCTAAGAATAAAAAAATGGTATGGTATTTTCTATATCCCGGTGAGTTGATGAGCCGTGGGTATTTCCATACAATAAATAGAGTTAACATGAAGGAAATTATTCGGCATTTAATAATTAAATGACGAATAATTATTAACTCTGCATTTTACTAAAAATGTTGACATGAAATTTAAAGTGGTTAAACGAATAATGAGTCAATATTGATGCGTTTTTTTTCCTTTAATTTACACCAGCCAAACATTTACCGAAAAAAAATGAATTAATTTTTAAATACATTTTTTTTAAGTTTAGGTAAATTATTTTTGACTACACACAACGCTCCTAAAACTTAACCATTTTATAGTAACATTAATTGAGAAAACACAAATTGTTTGCAATAAATTAAGATATTATAAAATCGGCATAAAATATATGTAAAAAAAAATCTTTAAAGATTTTCCAACTAACTTACGCTTTATTAATCTTCTGGTATAAAAGTAGAATTAAATAACAGGGTGTAATTTTGACAAATTACTACATTTGTTATAATCATTCGGCTTACAAATGTGTATGTATGTTTAATAGACATTGCTTACATTTTGAATAATGCTTTACTAACACTCGTGCGCTATTAACATTAAGCTAAAGTATTATTTAACTGATTGATATAATATTCTAATTAGTAACAAACGTTGGTCATATTATATAAAATAGAACGTAAATAAATATCAAACATATGTACACATTAAATGGGTACAACAAAGTATAGACAAAAATTGTCGTTAATATTATAAAAGAATATTGTCATAGACAACTATACATTACTTCATAACGATATATGCAAAAGTATATTTCAAGAGGATATTAAATTACGAATTATTCTCATAATTATATCTCATAGTTCGTTATAATGATATTATAATCTCATCTAGATATTACTATTCGATAATACTTAAGAATCTCTACTTATTTTTATATTTACGAACATTTAGAATCTTGCTAATGTGATATGATACAAAATTATATTGCTTGGAAAATATAGGTATATAAGAAAAACAATTTCGAAAATATAATGACTGTAATTTATTTTCATATTCATTTAATTTTGACTATATTTTCCTATATAAATTTGATGTTTCCTAGATATTTTATAAGAAATTGACGTTCAAAATATTATTCGTGCCAAATGATTAATAATAATAAACTGCTCATTGAAGCAATTGGTCGGTAATGTTAATTTTTTTCAAAAATAAGGAATTTGAAGACGAGTAAAAACATGGTGCCTTGCACTGATTGATTTGATAGATTTTTTGTAATCAATAAAGAATGTGTGTATTAATTGTTGTTTTTTTAAGTAACACCTCTAGCTTTAAGAGGCACTCAGGGAACATATTGATGGACATGTATGATGGACTCAGTAAAAAATGACAAAATTTTATTTATCTCTATAAATATCTTTTTTCATTGAGATATTTGAAATTAAGCAAGTCCACAGTATTATTTCTGAGTTTTGAAGCAAAAGCTTTAAATATTCCGCACAAAAATGAATATATTATTGTTTGAAATTGTTTGGCAAAGCATGTGCAAAATAGGTAAGTCACCATTTTTGTAAATAATCATACTAATACGCATGACTGGTTATCTGCATTTTATGTTCTCTTTTTGTGTTTATTTTTTGTGTTAAAAGTAGCTACAGTTACTATGCATTATTGGTCACTATGTTTAGTGTATATAAAGGGCAGAACTCTTAAAACAGGGGATAAAATCAGCCAGTATGTTAATAATGATAGCTTATAACGCGTTAAGTCGCCAACAAAAGCTAATAGGGTTTAACCGAATAAGAAGCGTCACTTCCTTGTTTTGTCGACTCCACCTGATAAATAATAAAAGAATGAGGAAATAAATCATGAGACTGGCTCCGTAAGAAAAAATATTCAAATCTTATTTTGAGTCACAATACAATGATGATAATATGTTTAATGTTTTGTAAATAATGACATTACATTTTGTGGTAGCATAGACGCTATTTTGTTTGACAGTCTAGAATGTTGCCATTGTGCATTAATTTGTTTAACGTTTGCTTATACAAATTTCTCAATATGAAATTCTTACAGCTATTCCGTAGGCGTACTTTAGCGTATTTCTTCGTGTGTATGTTCACAATTCACAAAACATTCGTCATTTTGACACAATCTTCAGCTTTCGAGCTTTTGTTTGTTCAAAGAATCGAAATAAATGCTGCTCATAGAAGGTTCTCTAGCATTAGGTATTAATAAGCTCTGGCAACCCTATCGAGATGTAGAAGTAGCATCCGCTGTCATAAACTCGAATTGTACAAATATAATAATTCAAAAGTAGAAAAGAACGCAAAAAACATTTGTAAGACAGCTTTAGATCACATTACATAAAAGTGATACATGTTTGTAAAATATTTTACTAATATATCAGTGTTGGCTAGATGGGAAACTTCTTCGGTCGAGTCCTAAAAACATTTTATTGTGTTTATGGAATAATTTTATATTTTGAAAATTCCATGGTACCAGTGTTAAGGTAATTTACGTTTGCCATTCTAAATACTAATTTATGTTTAAAAATTTCAGCTACGCCTAAAACGAAGACATCACGAACATAACATTCGATAAAGAACAATTAAATCAACGACAGATACAAAAACATAAGTTACTTATGTACAAGTTAAGTTAAGGTTAGCTTGGTCTGGCGCAAGTCCCACCTTTTGAAAAATACAACTTCGGGAAAGTTTACTGTTGTTACAAATCGCATCTAAGAATTCATTTATATTTTTATTTTAAAACTTGACTACTATCCTTATCTTTATACATAGTGTGATAGTTATTTTGCACAAAATACATAAAATAGTTAACAGTGGTAGCCTCGGACTACCTCAATTGACGCATGACCGACTAATTATTACATTTATACATAAATATTTCTGAAGTACGCTGTAGTATTTTTTATTACTAACATTGACTTATTTAACCTTCGCGTTCTATGTTAAATATACTTTAAAAAACGGTCATAAGATACATTTCCCTAAATTACTTAATTTCTGAAAGTCAATAAAACACAGTCTAGATTTTCCGATTGCGTTATTATAAACAGTAAAGTTGGCGCCTACTTTAAATGATATAATAATGGTTAAAAAGGCCGTTGTGTGATTAGTTGAGTAGGCGTTCAAGTATTGTTTAATAAAACAAGAGTAAACTTTCCCAAGTAAAGTGATCTTAATTTAAGATGTACGTTGTTGTATTTTATTTAACAGATCTCCAAACATCAATGATGTTGATGCTTGTTGATAACAAGACGCGCTGTACCTTACCATTTATTAGTTAACGTTCATACTTTTGTTGCACCATTTTTAAATATACATTTTAGGTATTGTTAAGTTAGTTAAGCGACTGTTTGTAATGTTGGTAAACAATAGAAATTATATAAAAGTATTTTCATAGATCGGCGTTATTGTAACTTTAAGTACGTCCATTTTACAAATAATATTAAATTGTTAAAATTTATATTTATGCATTTCTATATAAAAAATGTGATTTATTAAGCGGTTCACATAAATGTAAATAGTAAATAATGTCGGGAGCAAATGTCTGTTTATTGTATTTTGAATCTCTTTTGTGCATTTCTGATGAAACTGCTTTTGTGGATGAAATATATTGTATTGTATGGAATAAATAAATTTTCTACTTCTAATTTCTTTTTATTATTTTACTGGCCTGTAATGCTCTATTACTGAAGGTATAAATATGCAAATGTCAAAAGGTATTCTCGTAGCTAAGTTTTACCAAGACTAGCAGAATACCGATTCAACTGTCGGTCTCAATGCGATATAATCACATTACAGTCAACGTTTGATGTTTAATCTTTTACTACGATAATAACTTTGCATTACTTTGAGAGTTCTTAAACTGATCTCCAGAAAGAAGTCTGGTGCAAGTAATATTTAGCATTAAAGTAGTAGGCAATCAGATACATAATTATTGGGTACTATTCTATGATTGTCTCAGACGGTCACCACTTTCTGAGTAAGTTTCGAGTTCATAGTAGCCATGTCTGTAGACATCACCAGCTCGAACACCGGCTTGAACTAGGAGGCAACACAATTAGGAGTTGGCGAATATTTGACATTATCCCGAATAGTTGCGTTTGCTAGGCAGCTTTGCTGTTGTGCAGCAAGTCAATAGACCTACATTTACACAACTGCTACAAAAGGATATTCCTGTATATCTAATTCATTATAAACATCTTAACACCTGAATAGATTTGTTTTAGAAAATATGACGGGTATTTATTTGTTTGGCAGAGCATATATTTTTAAATTAGTATCATATCTGAATCACATGCACATCAAAATTTGATTCAGGGTTTTATACTACACAAATGGCGTTTTAACTGGATAGATGTCTTAAGTACTTAATCATAATAGTTTGAACTAATTATGTGTTTTTAGGAAGATACATTATATTCATACTGCACGCACGTACTCGTACATACATCTATTAATGAATTTTAGAACAAAACAAAATTACCTGTGGTATGATATTCCTTTATCTTAATAAGAAAAATAATGTAAAAATTCTAAACAAACATGGAAGTTTATAAGAAATGCAACTAATACTAATGAAAATAGAAATCCAACCATTGAACTACTTAATTCCAAAACTAATGAGAAGTCAATTATAATTTCAATATAAAATTACTCTTGACATAAACAACGCACGCATTTTGTGCGTTGGTGGTGTATCATTGGTTTGAACTATTAGATTCTTTTCCGAAAGTAGATTTCTACATACTGAATTTGACAACAATGCTTCGAGCACGAAAAATGATCGAAACGTATCGAGTCCACGATATGATAACGGAGTATTACGCAGGTAAGTTATGAACAAAGACTTCTCAAGATAGTCTTTTGGCATCGAGTGTATACCTGCGTAGTTACGTTGCTATGAAGCATGACAAGTTGATGTGACAATCCTGAAATAACGTGACAATTACTTGTTATTCTAGTTGTTTTCCGATTCGTAAAAACATTGAAATTTAAAATGAAGAGTAACTGTAGGCTTAAGTGTAGATTTAATTTACTTATAAATGACTGTATCAGCATCGGTAATGTGGACATAGGTGCAGGTCAAACGAACCGTTCGTTTGTGAGATGTTCTACAAGTAGGTATTTGTTCCCAGGCCTGTTTTTTCAAAGGTAAGCGGGCCTTAAAAGTATATATATATATATATATATATATATATATATATATATATATATGTACAAAAATCATCAAGACTAGTGTATTTCCTAGCTTCCCTTTTTTGAAAAAATCGTAGCTACTCTCTACGATTTTTCCAGGCGCTAGGTCGCCTGTACTTCAAAGTATAAGCGACTTTTAAACCTATTTCGCTAGAGACCTCAACGGCCTGGGAACAGCTGCTTTCTATTAGAAATATTTTAAAAGAATTTTGGATGTCCTAATTTAATATTATGTAGCAAATGTTTGTCTGATCGAACAATTTAAAACTTTATTACCGACGCAGTCAAATTCTATAGCCTGTGTGGGCTTTAAACATTCCTCATCATCCTTCTCATTATTTCCTCTAATACTTTATGCATTTAAAAACCTAGAAGTAATTGGATTGCGCACCTATATATGGTTTTCATAACATATTGGGCCAATTAAAACTTTACTAAAAACTGTAGCTGTAAGTACGTTTCATTCTCAGTCTCGGGAAAGGATATAGGAAATGAAATACATGTGGTGATATAGTGTAAATGTGAGATATTATCTAAGCGTTTATGCAAAATGGGTCGCGCCGAAAGTACTATGAAATATATACTGTGTTTCTTCAACCTTTTCATTATGGTAAGATCGTATACCGCAAAATGACATATTTTAATTTACAAGAGAGTAAATACTGTACTCCCCGTCTTGTATTTTTAGTTTAAATGTCACAATTTAGGATTTGATCAACTTCTAGGAGTGAGTAACTATTTAGAGAATAAGAATTTGGAGCCAGTTGATTTACGGCTGGTTTTGAATAGGTATTTCTTTGAAAAGAAAAAAAGCTAAAGTAATGGGTTGCTTTACAGCCTCTAGACCGAGTTTAATTAGTGTGTAAATAATTTGTTCAAATTGCTACCGAATCCCTCCGGATCTTAGGCACAGTATGGCAACGTGTGGTTTTAGTTATTTCGATTCCGATACATCGCCCTACTGAAAATCCCATGTGGGTTGGGAGCCCTAGGGGTGTTTACATACGCAAAAACAAAACATTAAACAATTTGAAACCATTTCTTTCTGTCCCATCATTTCCTCGCCTCATTCATCCAGGATTTTTTTTGATTTACATTCATAATCAGTAATTCTTTTCTTTGTAGTTCCTGGGCCTGGTGATGGTAGTTATAGGCGTGATCTTTCAGATGGATTGGAAAGTTGTCAAAGATGTGTTGAAGGCTTACCTGACAGTCGAACCGTGGAGTTTCATCATAATCGGCACTCTAATGTTTGTGATAGGCATTTTCGGTTTCTGTGGCCCATTATTTAATAATAAGATCACGGTTTTCACGGTAAGCAACATTATTATTATTAACATATAATTAAATTATACCTACACATTGATACTTTTTAACGTTTGACCTCATTTACTTTTTAATTGATATTCTATGTCGCTTGAAACAAGAAAAATAATGTAATAATTACCTTTAAAAATAAAACCCATCCGCCTTTAAAGCATCTCGAGTGTATTAAGTAATATTTTTTAACATCAAGTAACACAAATTGTCATGTTTGCGTGCATTACGCTTTTACCAACCCCCGCTTAATCCGAATGCTTTTAATCACGACGAGTATAAAAATTCGAGTGTTCGGTTAGAAGTTGAACTCCTCCGAACGTGAAACATTTCGGAATTTTTGTGCCACGGTGTCTGAGAAGAACTCTCAATTTGCTTTGTATGTCAATAGTGCGTTATCTACGAAACCTTGTTCTGAACCAGCATGCACAATGATAATTCTTTGTCCTTTCGACAGGTTTCTCTTTAAAGGTGGTCCATCTTTATTACCCCATCCTTTGTTTTGCACATGATTAGTTAAGATGTAGCTCTCATCTGTATATACGATACACCGATTTTCTTGACGGTATCTGAGTAAATTTTTTAGGTAGAAAAATCGTAGTTTGTGGATGTCATGCCGCTCTATAATAACACGTCTTTTATCCACAGTTTTTCGCCATTTGTATCCCAACTTTAACAAAGCTGTACGCAGAGTCGAAATACTTCCATCATAGTTAAGTTTATCTTGAAATATTCTTTTCAACTTTAGCAAGGTAGGTAACTCGCGATGTTCTAAATGGTAATTTTGAATAGTGGAACGTATAACATCAACGTTATAGTTGTCTAATTCTAACTTTTTTAAACGTTTTTTACGGTCTTTATGCGGAGATTTAAATTTAGAGTCAGATTCTTTTCCTTCAGCCAATATATTAATAATTGTTCTCTCTGATACCCCCACTGCCATTGCTGTTCTTTTCCGTACGCTATTTAAATGTTCACTTAATTTCGATATTAAAATTGGACTTGCACTGCAAACTGGATCACTTACTAGTTCCAATATATCTCTCGCATCTATTTTCAGAACTTCGTATACCTTAGCAATGGTTTCTCGAGTCTAAAAACAATAATACGTAAACGTCAACAAGGATATATTTTTTCGTATATAGAATCATAATAAATATTAATTACATCTAAATTTAAAAAATATTTACCTGACTCCTTAAACATTTTCTCCGTGAAGAACTAGACATTTTCGTAAACGACTGTACCCTTAAGAAAAAGCGATAAGAACAGGTCTTGCTCGGACGACGACTGCCGCGTCACTGCCACACGAATGAAAGTTGTATATTTACAAGCCCACGTACACATAGGGCCGCGCGCACAACTGAGTTTAGTATATATGTATATTTTTCTGTTTTACACACGGCAAACGATATAGCTGGTCTGTAGTACGAAAGTACCTGTGATTTATATAAACTATTCCTAGCGAAGGCTAGGGCCCTAGCCTAGCTTTCGCTAGGCTAGGGCTCCTCCTAGAAAGGCTGAATGCAAACAGCAGTATGATTTGGAACAATAATAATAAGCAAATGTAAGTATGATTGAAGAAGCGAGTTATTTACAATTCACACACATAAATGTAAACATGATCAGGTATTTCGATTACCGTGTGTACATATTATTATTTATTTCTGCAGACGGAAGCTTTGGCTCTCATAAAATCTAAGAACTGGTTTCGAGCGAAGTTTGAATTCTTTGTCTTTCCCTCATCATCCATTTTCAGAACATTTATTATAGCCCTTATTTACGAAATACTTATTACCTACCAAAAGAATGACGACTAATTTTATCATGTTACACTACAGTACGTTATCTTTCTGCTGGTCATCATCGTCTTGGAAGCAGTTATCGCTATACTTCTAATCACATCACAAGATACCAAGAGAAGTATAATGAAATTTGGCAGCGATATATTCGAGGCAGCGCCCAACTCTTACGTTCTCAGGAGCATTACGAACAGTGTCCAAGAGCAGGTATTACTAGAACTACAAGTTACTGTATGTTATGAGATTTTACAAAACTCTAGTCTGGTACAGTTCTGTCAGCTTCACAGTATGTAAAGAATAATTATAAACATCCGTCTTATAAATTGAAAAGGCCTGTGGGTTTTTCAAACAAGACTAATTTTGTCCAGTTTGAATGTTGCGGTTGGAGCGGAGTCGAGGATTATGGTCTTCTTGCTTCCTTTCCATCGCTACCAGACTCCTGCTGCCGCGAAAATGAACCTTACGGATATCTCTTTCAACCTAAATGCACCATATGGTTAGCCAGTCCTGGCTGTAAGAGGATAATCGAAGACACTTACGAGACAAAGTTTGCACATGTCGTTGCCATTGCTGTTTCTGTCGCTTGTTTGCAGGTAACTTTAAATATAATTCTTCTGTGCATGTGTACGTGACTGAACTCCTCCTAAACGGCTGTATCAATTTTGATGGAATTTTATTTGTGTTCAAGTGGATTCGAGAATGTTATAGATTCACAATTCGGTTCACTACAAAATGAGTTGTTAGTTGTATGAATTGTCTGTCGTGTCCGCTAGTGGCTTTACATTATACGCAGTTATATTAATATTACCAATTATGCAGAGAACTTTGTATGATAACGAGTTTTTATTTGGGGATGGTACAAGTAATGTGGGTCTCACAAATTCGACGTATTTACAGAATAAGCCTTTATAGCAAATGGCCAATTGCATAAAAATACCTAAGAACCTATATATATAAAACCTAACCTAACCCATAAAGAAATTTCATTATATATGTTACTCAATCAATTTTATTTTACGAATAACGTAATACTGCATACACTTTGCATGAATGAAAGAAACCTTTTGTACCCAAAGAAATTGTTTACGAGGGACGTATCTTTTACCGAAGTCCAGCGATCATGAAAATTCTTTAATTTTTTTTTTAAATTGTTAATGTTAATAACAGAATACAATGGTATTTATATGAAACTAGCTGACCCGGCAAACTTTGTTTTGCCATATAAATTATTTAAAAAAAAAGATTCGATTCGATTCGATTTTCAGACATACCCGATATGCACACAAAATTTCTCAAAAATCGGTGGAGCCATTTCGGAGGAGTTCAACCACGCACACCGTGACATGAGAATTTTATATATTAGATTGAAAACTATTGAAAGCTTGAAAGATACGAAAATATAAACTTAACTGTAATACTCGTATATAAAGCTATGAGTTAAGTAAAATTATTTCTTTGAAATCTTTCAGATAATCTGCATTGTGGCTGCCCTGTTTTTTATAAACTTCGGTAGAGAGAGGAAGAGATCTTGCATGCCTTTTTTCTTTTAAGGGTCACTCCAGACCGAGTGGAAAATGTGACAGTATTTTTTACAATAAAATATAAATCTTATTGCATTACAATAGAGCTGAGATTCGTATACCTCTTCCGGGTGAACTGGATTCTTTTACTTGTATGCGACTTTACTAAAGTGAAAACTTATAAAACCTTTATATTTGTTTTCCTTGAATAAGGGGGAAAGGAGGGGTGGGTGGAGGGAGGTCTTTGAGCTCCAGTAACTTCACTCACTGAGTGAACAGCAACGAAAACCAGCTTAAACTCGTTTCCTGTGAGGCAGTGTTACCACTCCGGTAGAGCCTCCCACGACCGCTAAATGGAAGTAAGTTTGGTATTCAAAATAATTTATTTGCCATTTGATTATAATAGAAAATATATAACGTATATTGAACAGAAAAATATGGTTAAGAACACTATACTTGATATTGAACTTACGAAATAACACCTTATGTCTATTAACACAGAGATAAGTCTTAAATAATATGCTAATACATTTAAAATAATAATGGAATGATAATACTTAAACACTTTGTGCTACACACATCAAACACTACCTTTTTAAAACGTTTTTTTTTGCGCTTACAACGGCTATGCTTTCTATTGCTCAATTTATATTAAACTATTATTTTATTTAGTACACAAACGGTCCCAGAGTATATAAAGTTAAGGCCAAAAATTGCGATTTTTCTTCAGTATACATATACTTAAAACGCTTAACTATTTATTTAATTTTCTAATACTAAGATTTGAATACTGAATCTCTGTCAGAGTTAATGTAGAAACGGTCAGTTGGCAATGCATAGGTACCTTAATGAAAAATATACCTAGTCAACATTTTTTTAACGAACTTTTTTCTGTAAACCACGACTTTTGACAGGTATTTTAATACGCATTCGTGAATAGTTTCAAGTTTATCACTTCAGCTATAGTGCCTAGTTTACATGCGTGTCGAGGCTTGGCAAACGTCCACAAGCTCCAAGCCTTTACAAACGCTAGGATGCCATTTACACGTTTGGGAGTGTGTTAGTGTGGTCCAAACAGGCAAACATTGCAGACGTGGACATATTTTTTGTCAAAATATAAACGGATAAACTAAAAAAACAACCTCTAGCTGTAAGTCTTATTGCTCTACTGCTTAACCAGTAGTAGAGCATTGAGACTTGAATGTTGATTCCCGACTGTTCAACTAATATCAAATTGAGCAGTAGGCAGCCGCAAGCTTCCTTTGATCTGTGTTAAAACGACGCTAGTTCCTATCGACGACCACCTCACGCAATCCGAGCCACTCCCTTTACACGCTTGTGTTTGTGGACACTTGGCGAGGCTTGGCAAGCGGCAAGTAAATGTGCTAGATTTAAAACTATGTTTTATGTAAAAGAAACAAGACTTAGTCTTACAAATATGATGTATAACATGTCACCCATAATCTAACGAACTACTCAAGCACAGCGCGCGCTCATTGGTCAAATCAAATAGCGCACGCATTTCTCACTTTTATTAAACATTTCCGTCCCCTTTCCTAGTGAAAAGACGTGTTTTCGTAACACCCCCATAGCAGGGAAGCGAGAGGAAACTTAAACCCACATTGTGATACAGGCATCAGAGATCTATTAATTACGTATTAGTGCTGTATATAAGCTTCATTGTGAAGGTAAGGCGTTGTCATGTCCAAAGTTATTTGAGTAACACAATAATAATCGAGCTTAGCTTAGACTTTTAAATTAAATATAAAAACACGTGAAAGACAAACAATTACAAATAAGTAACTATCGTAAATAATATTTTTTTATATTTTAGATCCCGCCAAAAATCAAAAACGTTTTAACAACACTTAGCTTATGTACCTGTAGATGTAACCACGACAAATCTAAACAATAAAATTTGTATTTTATCGTTAATCTTGTATTTGTTCGTATTTTATACTCTGTTCTTCTTGTCAAGTCATTGTTACGGATACAACAAAAGAAATCGGCTACCTTTATTCCAAAAATATTTTCTGGATTAAAGTAAATGGAATTGAAAAGATGGAAAAATTACCCGCTCGAAATGCAAGCAAAGGCTAGTTTTTAACCTTCTTTTTTATTCTCAATTTTTTTTTATAAATATCAGTTATTAATTGCATGCATACATATACTTAAAACTAAGACAAGAGATAGTCCTTTATGTCTGGAGAACAATAAATATCTAAAATAATAATAGCACCTTGGTTAACTTACGACCTTTCCCCTTAAAAAAGTGGAGGGGTAACCAGTTCTTAGTAACAGGCGTAAAAGAATTAGCTAACTATGAGATAGATCATGCGTTTAACGGTTCTGCGGTGTCCTGTTCATCTGAATTATTTATTGAAGAGTTATCTGTAAACAAAATATAATATAGGTATATTATTTCATTTATATCATGTGGAGTAGAGGACGAACAAAGAAGATATGGATGGACTGAAAGAGGATGGCTAGAAAGGAGATTTTGGCCTAAGTACCGTAAACGTGTGGTTTAGTAGGCCAAAATCTCCTTTCTAAGGAGAGGCCTTTGTCCAGCAGTGGACTTGTAAAGGCTGTTGATAATGATAATAAATTAATTAACTCATAGTTATAATACTTATGTCTTACTTTTCGTCGCGTCTCACAAAACAAAACATCTTTCCCAAAACAAATATACATAAGTCTTTTCCAAATTATATTCGTAGATATATTCATTAGGTAGACACTCACCGTCCACAAGGAGTTCATGACTATAGAATCTGGGTAAGAGCAACGTCAACATGAGTCCTACGATAGTTGCGGCGCCGCACACCCACGAGAGCGCGTCGCGATAGTAGCTCGCCGGCGCGCCGTCCGCACTGCAAAAGTTACAAATTTAATACCATAAGTATTGGAACACAAATTATTGAGCAGCCTTGCCAAGGCAAAGATAAATTTTTGGCTAAGTTGCTGCAACCGGCTGATAATCTTGTGAAGAGAGGTTTTGGTTGCTGAAGAGCACACGTGTATCAGAATCGGACATATCCTAGTGATTGCAGATCAACCATAGCTCATATAAATGATACCTATTCTTAATGAGACTATGGCTTAATGTAACTATTGTTATTTTTTTAAATATTTATTTAACTCTCTGCACTTCTTCCATACATGAACAATATTTAAAGTTTGATGTTTTTTCAAAAGTTAATAAGATGTTGATATACAGACTGTTATGAATTATCTTTTAACGAATCTGTAAACCACATATTCTGCACTTTATTTCTAGACGATTTGCAAAATATGAACAAAAAGTATTCAGTGGTTTAGAAACAGGACATTTTTTTTGTTTTCGTAATTTGCAAAATCATGTGTACATGCAGTCATAATACATTGACCTCAGGCGGCGATCAGCTGTATACGCGGCGCGGTAATCACACGTTGCCGCTTTTACTACACTCGAATCGAACGAAATTTATTGATTATTGCGTCATCAGGATGAAGGACACGCGTTTTTTATTAGTTCACCAGTAAGGGTAGTCAGTCGGCCCTTGGCCACCGGCGAGTGTTATGCTATTCTGTGTCCTTTTAGATGCGCTCACGACAAATTCTTCGTACTAATTTTTTTCATTTTTAATTTTAATCGACGTATATTGAACCGTTTTGTCTGTTATTTCATTTTTTGGGATATGTTTCATCACATAGTGTATATCGGTACAACATACATCGATAACTGATTAATTATATTAACTGAATTGCTAGTATTAGGGCTTTATTCATATCTTATCATTTCTATTATAAATCCGCACTCTATTAAGTACGTGACCGTTGTCAGACAAAGATAAAATGGATGGGTCCTGCTGACTGTGTGATGTCTATTAGAAAAAACAAAAAATCTTTATTTAATACATTTTTATTGTGTCCAGCAGCTGCAAGTCACAGGTATACCCTGACTTGTTCGAAATATTCTCAATAGCCCAATACATTTATCTTTATGAATAACTATATATCCGTATAACTCTTTATCCTTTACCGTCCATTACCCTACTTTAAAATAAATAATACTAATCATTTGTTACGAATTAAACAAACGTGGTTAACGTTATACTGTACCTGTTTATTTCCAGCATATGACTACGTATGATCAAAGTTTACCCATTACGTATCTATACTAATATTATAAAGCTGAAGAGTTTGTTTGTTTGTTTGAACGCGCTAATCTCAGGAAATACTGGTCCGATTTGAAAAATTCTTTCAGTGTTAGATAGCCCATTTATCGAGGAAGGCTATAGGCTATATATCATCACGCTAAGACCAATAGGAGCGGAGCACCAATGAAGAATGTTTCAAAAACGGAGAAAATTTATTACTATTGAGAAACGCAGACGAAGTTGCGCGGGTCAGCTAGTATAATAATAAACCGACATATCACACAGACGGTCGTCTGATCCCAAACTAGGTAGAGCCTGCGCTATGGTAACCAGTCTGCTGATAAACATACTAATATATTTCTAAATACATACATATTATAGATAACTTAAACCCAAACACAGAACAAATGATCGCGATAGTGTGAACATTAGCTCGGCTTTTATATATTCAGATAATAAAATATTTGCAACATCAAACCAGCATTGATGACTAATTTATTATCTAAATCACTTTAACAGAATGTAGAATTGAGGTAATTCGTTCTGAATAGGCGGGTACAGTTACATTATTGGTTCTGAGTATCATCATCATCATCAACAGCCTTTAACAGTCTACTGCTCGACATAGACCTTTCCTTAGAAATGAGGTTTTGCCCTACAATACCACGCTGGCCAGACGGGTTGGTATAGAGTTTGTGTCAAGTTTCCCTTCTTCTGGTTCTTAGTATACGAATTGCTTATTGCTGAAAAGTATGAAATGAATGGTTTAAGTAGATGACTGTCAGTTCAAATTTGTATCTTTTAACATATACGCGATATATTTGAAGTGAAAACTTCTTTAGGCGCGTTCGGCATTTTTGAACAACAAACAAAAGAATGTATTTTTGATATGGGAAAAACCATTGAACTCACGACACTGTTACCGTTACCTCTGTATATAAGTACCTACATATATTTTATATATTGTATATACGTACAACATAGATATATATTCATGTCGGAACTTTTCGAATTGAAAAAAAAAAACAAAAAAGACCTGTTATAATTAAAAAGAACTTGTTATCACTTCTGTCGTCATTTCCGGAGTGGCACTCCGTGAACTGTTTTGTTTTGTATGAAAATGATACTATGACGTGACGACATATTTAGCGTTTTAAGATGTTGCAATCCAGCTGAAATAATTTATTTATAACCTAGGTATCTACCCGATTCGGATGAGGAGGGCTAGGGTCTCTTTCTGTGAAGCTTTACGGCTTCAGAAAGAGATCGCTGAACGGTATCGGGAGAGGGCCGATCAAAACACTAAATCGTTACTAAGTTAATTAATATAATAAACTGAAAATAATTTGTATTTCATAGCCTGATTTTTATGGAGGTCATATGGAAGATCACGCTCAAACCCTTAGGATCGAAGCAGCGATGTACATAATGACAAATACTCACTATGTTTGAATAACAACAATAGCGATTCCACAAGCCAGTTTATCGCTGAAGCTCATGAGTCCATACACGAAGGCAGAAGCTTCGGTCCTGGCGCCGACCAAGTCTGCCGTCAGAGCCAAACTTGTCACCAACATTATAGCACCTCCAAACCCTAGAAAAAAAAATAGAATATCTTTATTTATAGTAAAATATGGTAGGAACATAGATTCTTACACATCAAGGGTTATATAGATCAGCACACAGCCTTTAATAGTCCACTGCTTGATATAGGCATTTCCTTAGAAAGGAGATTTTGGCTTACTGTATTGCGTTGGCCAGAAGTGTTGGAATAAGGTTTGTTTCACGTTTTACTTCTCTTTGAGGTGCTGTTATCATGCGCAGTTTGCTCCCTTAGTCAGATCTTACGACACCCATGGGATGGATAGAGGTGGTAACACTCCGTATTCTCGATACTGATAATCCCGAAGAATTCACGTAATAACCACAAAAAAAGTGCATTTGAGAACGATCTTCTTTGAAATGGGTTCTAAATTATTCGAACTGAAAACTTCTTTTTAAATACTACTAACTTTTTTTGTTTTTGAATGGGTCGGTTAGTAATAAAATGAGTCGAATTTCAAATTTTCTAAACATTTTAAGATTATTAGGCAAAGTTTTGACTATATTTGTCAATTCGGGATTATCTATCCCGAAGATTTGACGTAATAATCACAATAAAAATAGTCATTTTGAGAACGATCTTCTTTTTAAATGGGTTCTAAATTAGTTGAACTGAAAACTTCTTTTTAACTACTACTATTTTTTTTTGGTTTTTGAGTGGGTCTCTAAACATTTTAAGATTATTTATTAGTCAAAGTTTTAGCTATCTTTGTATGTCGGTTCACGACTTGTTACCCCGAGTCATGCATTGTTATCATCTGCAATACTTGATATTATATCATAAATTGTAGCAATTATAAACTTTGTTCCGATAATAGTTTTAGGTTACAAAGTAAATATTTTAAGTATGATTTAATACAAGAGAGTTTATTTATCAACGTACAAAGTTCCTATTGAAACGGGTATGAAGACATGTCATAAATGACTCATTCAACAACAGACACGTAGTCAAGTGTTATTATTAGGCGTCTTGTGGATAATAGCACTTTTACAGGTCAGGAATAAATACCTTCCTCTCATTTAAAAAAATATACTTAGACATAACCGCAATATGATTTAAATTATAACATTAAACTGAGACACTACTTAGAGCCTGAACTATGGTAACCAGACCGCTAATAACCATATACATATTAATAAATATTGACATTTAATAGATAACATACCCTTAGATACAAAAAAAAATCTTGTTCATCACACAATAATTGTTCTTGGGTGGGAATTGAACCCACGACTTGGGACTCCTTAGCAAGACTACTAACCACTAGACAGACGGGCCTATTACATCATGACATCAAATAAATTTAGTCAACCCGAAAACGGCTAGTGGTAACGATAAACTTCTTCAACAAAGATCTGCTTACCACGTTTGTCAGATAACAAAGCAATGCTCAAACGAATTTTGGCACAAAAGTATACTTAGACACTTGTTTTGCCTCTACTCGTACCCATATGTTATAAACAGATAAACATATTTATTACTAGAGATAATCCGACTGGTCGGCAACTAGTCGATACAGCCGACATATTTTTTTTAAAGCTAAACATAACACTCAGACACGTGCAAAGGCGGCGAATGCGACTTACAATATATACAAACAGCTGTAAACGAAAATGCGTCACGGAAAATGACGACTACCCCCGAAATCGTGATCGGCTTGGCCGACTAGTCGGCTTGTTTACAACCGACTAATCGGCTAGTTGGCAGCCAAAGTCATCTCTATTTTTAATACTTAAATACCTTTGTCCCAAAATTCATTCACATGTGTGCGTGCATTTATGTATGTCTAATAGTAATAATTTTCAATCCAAAAACAGTTAAATATAAAGGAAATCCAAGATAACAACACTGATTATAAACTCGACATACACAAAAAAGATTTCTATTAAATACATCATCATCAGTCCTTAATACTCCACTGCTGGACATAGGCCTCTCTTTAGAAAGGTCTTGGCCTACGGTTTGAGTCAAATAAATACATATATAATTATAATGAAATAGCACGTCAAATGGGTAATAAGATACGACAGATTTTTACTAACCTATTAACACAGCAACCACATATATAAAATAGACTTTATAATCGTCATCAGATCCCAGATAAATCCACACAAAACCAGCCAATGCGCATGCAGAACCAGTTAGATAATTGAGTTTTCGTTTACACGACCTTGGGGCCAGCCTTTGTACGCCTGCCGCGGCTAGGCTGCCAAGGTACAGCGCTAGGGGAACCGCTGCTAGGGCGCGCTCGGCTAGGCCTAGCGTACGGTGGAGATACAGGGGTATTAATACCTGTGACACGTTCACTACAAGTCTTGTACACATGTACACACCGGCCACCTGGAAAGAAGGTCAGATATCAGTTGTTTCATGACTTCGTAATTGCGAACATGATTCATGACGGTAAACAAGTAGACAGGTCACCTGATGGTGGCAGTTTCAGGTATTACTATACCTGGAACTCAAGAGACCCAAGTGCGTTACCACCTTTAGAGTGTTCTTCTCCCCCAGAGTAATAGGACGGGGAGTTATCGGGCCTCCAGTAACCTCACCTCACTTGCTCAGTGAAAAGAAACGAAGAAATTGCCTAACACCGGCTTTCTGAGGCCGTCTAACTTATACTGCCTTCAACATTTGTAAAATGTTGAATATTCTATAAAAATATATAATCTGAATCTCGGAAACGGCTCCAATAATTTTCATGAAATTTAGTATGCAGGGGGTTACGAGGGCGATTAATCGGTCTAGCTAGGTTTCATTTTTAGAAATATACCAAGAAAAAGAAAACACCGGTCATCCAGATACAGTATTATATAAGCAGATATAACACGCCTATTATATTTACTAACATCATATGCCTAATAAATAAGTGTATTATATATTTAAATCGTAATAAAGATAAGTAGATCCTTAGTATTGCAATTTGTAATTGATACAATTTGTACTCGTATTAATTGTTCACTGATAACGACAATCGGTTAGACCCAGTTGCACAATTAATTAATCAGTCACTCTGAGCAAATCACTTATCGGTGTAGCTCTATTGTATAATTATGTAGGAACATTAATTTTATTTTAAACCAAAAGAACCAATAGAACCAATTTCTACTTCTGAAAGCCGGACCGGAGTCGGACTCGCCCACCGAGGGTTCCGTACATTTTATAAATAGTTTAGGAATCGAATTACGCAGTTTTTGCCGAGATTTGAGCGAAATTCAGTTTCTAAAACCTATAATTACCTTTATTCTTGAGTTTTATAAGAGAAATTGTACCTCGATGATTGATCACGTACTTTAGAAACGACTATATTTTTTATGACTCTTTTACAAAAGTGGTTTCCAAATTTTTCCCTGTACTTGTAGTATAAGGCGATGTTGCTTGCAAAATTTCAGAATCAGGTACAGGTCAAAGGGCCCTATGCATTTTACCAGTACCAGGGCAGTACCCTATGAATTTTGATTCCCTTGAAAGTGTCGCAAAGTGCGTTTTTTGCGGCATAAACGGCTGTACCTTTTTTTACATGTAACACGTTTTACAGCTTTAAGGGACCGTAGATATGAGTATATGGTTTTAATTTCAACTCGATACGCGTTCCCGAGATAAAGGGTCTTGACAGACAGTTAGACAACAAAGTGATCTTATACGGGTTTTGTTTTTTTCCTTTTGAGGTACGGAACCCTAAAAATATATAAGTACCTAGCCGATCCTGTATCCTGCCGAGCTTTGCTGTGGCCCATTGTGGTTACATTGATGAGATATGAGAAACAAAACGATTCGAAAAATAGATAAAAACCATTTTTGAAGAGGTTTGTATATCTCGTATCGTCTCAAAATTTGAACTCAATCGGTGCAGAACTTTTTGAGTTTTTGAAGCGTACACAAACCGACTTAACATTTATTATATGAACAATATACATATATATATTGATTGAAGTACCTGATACATAAGTGGTTTGCGTAAGAAATCATAGTGCGCACCGCTTTCACCCTCCGGTTCTAGTTGATCCCGACGGACGCGGCTGTTTTTTTCAGAAACAGTGAAGTGAAATAATATGGATGCAATCGTACCTACTGCCAGCGCTATGTATACTATATGTCTAAACTTCCAGGCATCTGATGGCCCTATTTGCTGCGAACAAAAAGCAATACCAATGTCAATAAAGAATTAAGAATCATTCATACATTCAACAGTAAGCAGTTTGGACAAAAAGTCTCATTTTTATTTTGGTTTAAATAGACATTTACAATGAAAATTCATTTTTATTAAAATATTTAACGGACTACTGAGTATTGTAAACTAACTGAGTCAAAATGATTACAAAATTATTTAAATCGGTTTAGTAGTTGTAGAGATAATCGGTAAAAAAACTTAGTCTTTCCTTTGTATAAGTATAGTTATCCCTACGGAGAAGAGAAGGAAAACTTGTAACAAACCCTATACCAACCCGTCTGGTCAGCGTGGTATGGTAGGCCAAAACCTCCTTTCTAAGGAGAGGCCTATGTCCAGCAGTGGACTATTATAGGCTGTTGATGATACCGGCTTCGGCTGTTATGGCTATCAGTAATAAGATATTATATGTACCATATAGGTAATATTAAATTATTATATTAAAGAATCACTGATGACATACATGTTTATCGCATTCCCCAGTCATCCGTAATATAAGCCATGTGATAATGTAGACGAATAAATTTGAAAATACTGTGAACCCATATCTGAAACAGAAAAATACATGTTTACCATTTAGGTAGGTTAAATTGTCATAAGAACGGATAGGTCGTGGGAGCTAGTTTAAGGGATACTCAGGGAATTCAGACTGAGCCTGTCGTAGTTCGGGGGGGGGGGGGGGGGGTTGGAGTCACTAGGTCAGGGATTCATCATCATCATCAGCCTATCGCAGTCCACTGCTGGACATAGTCCTCTCCCATTGCACGCCACTTACATCGATTTTGGGCTTCTCGCATCCAGCTCCTGCCAGCCGGATTTTAAAGTAACGAGAACGATAGGCGGCTATGCGAGAAATATCAGTACCTACGCACGAAATTTTAAAGGTCAGCTCACACCATGATCTCTGCTTCAATATTTAATTTTAGATTGAAACAAATATTTGAGTCTGGTACAATACAATACAAAATGTATGCCTTTTTTATAGGTTTATGCGGTGAGCTGCAAGAAGCAGCAACTGTCTCTGATTAACAGAAAGCATTGCAGAGAACCAGTGACAGAAATATCGTGTAAAATAATTTGACAGACTAACCAGTCTAAATAGTCAAACAAGGAAAAAGACAGCTCATTCATTTACCTGACAAGTTAGAAGCTGTCTATATAAACGTGTCTGTATTGATTATAAAGGCATAGTAACTAACATAGGCATAGACACAGAAATTTTCCTCTACTTTTTTGACGATTCGTTAAGATGCTTTAGTAACCAAAAAATATACAAAAACAAACAAAAACTAGTCGTAGGTGAGTGCGTCACGAGCTGGTACGCGCGGTCACGGTTAGGTACATGTGTTAACATTAGTCATTGCAGACTTAATCGCCGGACATTATGTAAAACTTAAATAACTAGTGCCCCAAACGTTTATAACCGAATCACACAGATTTTTAAAACGATATGAATTTTGGACCGAATGTTCTGGCTTTTCAAGTTTTTTTCGGGGTAAACCTCATATGCAGATAACTTTAAAATACAAAACTTCTTCTAACTACTTAAGCAAAATATTGAATTTTTTCCAAACTTTTGGATTTACCGTTAGCGCCCTTTCTGAAATCCACATAATATCCATAGCTCTTTGAAGTTATTCCTATTAGATATACCTATGTTTTTTTTTTAAGAAGTAGGTTTAATAACTAAAGCCAGGGATCCTATGATTTTATAAAAAAATATTTATGGTATTCATGGGCGTGCCCAGTTTTTTTCATTTACTTTTTTTAAGTAGTTTGAAAACATTTGTTTGTACCTAAAATATATTAAAATATATTAAATTCCCCCCGAACGGAGAAAGACAAATTATTATTTTAGCGTTTAGCAGCAAGTTCCAGGCAATTCCATCAGAGTAACAGTATACCAAATATCAGATCAATCGGACCTGTGGATTTTAGTGAGATCCCTTTATCATCTAGGAAGTAATAATAATAATAATAATAATCTTTATTAGAACAAGAAACAGTAGGTATACAAATTTGCTTGTGTTCGAAAATAACCACATTAGTTATGAACTGTGTCGTGGCTATTATCGCCCACCTCCAGAAAGGTGCAGACAACGGCGCTCCAGGAATAATAAAGATAACTTAGTGACTATTATAAGTTATACAAAACAAAAAGAAAAAGAGTATGTGAGTGTGTGTGTGTATGTGTGTGTGGGTGTGTGTGTGTGTATGTCTGTGTGTGTGTCTATATGTGTTGGTTTACACACATACTTATAAGACTTAGTAATTCGCGCATGCCAATTAATTTAAGTATGTGTGAGTGGAAGGACTGGTGAAAGTTCAGTAACCCTATATCTTCAACAACGATTCCAGTTCGTCATACGTGAAAGCAGCCAACCATTCGTCGGTAACTTTCTTACATTTACGGGTAGAGTATGGATAAATATCAAGTACTCTATTGACTCTGTTGTACAAGAATGGAGCAAAATATGAGTATTGACGACGAACAACTTCTAGTCTTGCAGTCCGAGGCGGGCATACCCGGTCAGATCGACGTTTACGCCTGTACAAATCGTGGTCAAAGGGTAACTCGGCATGTTTACGCAGAATTGTGTGCAATAGAAAGGAGTGCCTCACTGTAGGTATCTTGCATAAGGAGTACAATTCACCGGTCGGGAAACGTATAGGTTTGCGAGTCATGACCTTGAGCACTGCCCTCTGAGCTCTCTCTAAACGTAGCAAAAGACTCTTACCAGTGTTTCCCCATGCAGGCACACAGTAGGTAATAATTGAGTTGGCCAACGCAAAGTAGACCGTACGAAGAGTAGATAAATCAGCCGAACTTCTCAAGTTCTTAAATACATGGATGAGCTTGCGCACTCTAGATACTAGCGAGTCTATTTGATAACTCCATGACAATGTACTGTCGATATAAACTGAGAAGTAAGCTGAGGATCTTCAAAATTTATAGCTAAGAACCATCTCGAACAAAAAAATCCGCATCGAAACTGGTCCATCCGTTCGGGAGCTATGATGCTACAGACAGACAGATAGATACACAGGTGAAACTTATAACACACCTCGTTTTCCGTCAGGAGTTAAAAATAACTCGAGAGACACAAGTGCCTTGAGTGCCACTTACCCTTAGAATGGAGTTTTAGGCTCCCATAACCTCCCCTACTCAGTGAAAAGCAACGAAATAAATATTTAACAACAGTTAGTTAGTCAGTAACTGTAAGGCCATGTTATCAATCCGGTCATACCGTGTGGATAAGGATTAAGAATACAGTGTCAAAACCCCTCTTCATCCCGTGGGTGTCGTAAGCCATAAACGTATAGTAGGCGTATAGTAGGCCAAAAGCTCCTTTATAAGGAGTCCAGCAATGGACTATAAAAGGCTGTTGATGATTAATCCGGTCCAGCCGGCCCGGATGTGGTGAAGAAAGGCTCCCTTACGCCTTTTTTTAGTCTCCAAGTCTTATAACATTGAAATTAAAATTTCAGTTACAAGGTAACATAGACGAAGGATGTTAATAACATTGAGTGAGGTGAGAAGCATAGTGACTAAAGTTTCGCACTAGTCATGAAGCGGTTGCAGGTTCGAATCCCACCTGGTATACTACCGAGGTGAATCTAAGTGGAAGGGTTCACATCCTTACACAGTATAAAGTGAAGTCGCGTTCGCGATTAGATCTTTCAAACTATGCAACAGATATTAATGTGGTTTTCACCAATAGAGAGAGTGATTCAAGAGGCAGGTATATATGTATAATACATGCATATTATAGTAGAGGAAATGCGACAATTTATAGTGTGAAGTCGCATTGCAAACGCACGCTAAACCTCACAAGATAGATGAAAAAAATGTACAAACAAATTGTATATCCTAAAAAGACCTACAAAAACGTCCGCCATGGCATATGTAACCATATTTGAAGAAAAAAAATTGGGTAATTTACGAAGCTTCTTTGAATAATACAGTATTATTCTTTATCCAAATGAATACGTTAGATACGTTGTGCATTTATTGTAGATCAAAATTGCCTTTTACAGCATATAATAAAAATGAATATCTTAGTAGATATTAGGGAATTAAAATGCGGGGGCAAAGCAGCCGTCGCCGCGTCGGGTCTTACGTCCGTACCGGGTGGCAGTAACCGGCAGGAGTAGCAACGCGCTTGTGACTCCTAAATTGCAGTCGTCCATGGATGGCAGTAGTAGGTGACCCATCTGCTGGTTTGCCCCCTCTTCCATAAAAAAATATGGCACAATATATAAAGATGTCCCGTAGTATAATTGTATCATAATATAGTATATTTAATTTCTCCAATTTCACCCCTAAGGAGGTAAAGTAAGGGATGAACTGATGTTGCAGGAAAGTTCTTCATTTTCAAAGTTAGAAACACTAAAATAGAAATAATCATGCGAGCGAAGGCACTGGCAATAGCTAGTTATGTTTATTATAATGTAAATGTACAAACTGCGTACTAGTATTCAATAGTAATAAAATGGTTGAACTAATCTTTTTGTAACTAGGTCAGCATCAAACCAATAAACCAAACCATGTAGTGTTTCATCTCAAAGAGTAAATCAAAGAAAAAATCAAGTTACATATATTTTTTTAACCATACCTGATAGCTGTGAGATGAGTTCTAGTATGATCGTCTTCGGACAGTTCTGGTATTAAACTTAGATGTGATATCTGTACCGCAGCCCAACCAATTTGGAATATTATAATAAACGATGCAAAATAATACATTTGTGCCCATTTGTGGGATAATGAACACTCAATGCACTCTGAGAATATGAAGGGGAATGACAACAGGACACAGACGGTACCTAAAACATTGAAGTTACGTTATCTTTTGCACGTTTGTTGTAATATGGCTCTACCATATCCAAAGTTCCATTCTGATATTGTCTTTCAGTTATTTTATTTGTTTACTGATTATAATATGTGTGAAGTTCCTTTTAATGTAAGAACTCATTGTTATGTAAATGATTTAATTAAATCCCAAAGTAAGAAGGTTGCACTGGCATTTTTATAGTATAAGCATGAGCCATCACTTTTTATGTTTCTCCCTAGTTTATTCTTTATATTAATAAAGAACTTGTGAAGTATACAAAACATTATGTTTAGTTAAATATCTAAATAACTTACCAAATAAATGCCACAATTTCCGTCGACCATATTTAGCACTAATACCATTGTCTGTGTGGTCTGAATGATATCCAACAAATGGTGTCGCTAAAGCATCTACTACTTGTCCTATTAGCATCAAGTTACCCGACTGGGATGCGGTAAATTCCAATACTAAATGAAAAAATACCAAAAAGTAAGTGAACCACAAACTTGCACATACATCGTTAAGTACGTGCCCAATGCCGTATCCAATTTGCAGACGAAGGCTCGTTGATATGTGTACGAATTCACTATCCATGTTGCGTACTACAGATACACACGAATTAAAATATATTTCATTAAATACTTTTCTAAGTGTAACACACTTTAACTGCTACGGAACTTTGCAATTAATTTCTTATGTACAGGTTAATATTTAGATATACTTAATCTTGCAATTTGTTAGTGCTATCGTTCTTATATACATTAAAATTAAAAATAAATATCTAAACTGCGCGAAACTTATTTCTTTGTGTACATTTTAATGTCATAAATTGTCATAACACGCCGAACCAAAGTGCCACCCTAGTCATGTCACTACTTAACTGTGACATTTCAGTTTCCTTGCCATATGTCAACTCATACAACGTCAAGTAAAAAAAGAAGTATTGCAAACCAGTTCCAGATTCCCCTGAAACTATTGAATTTTTTTTACGATCTGTGAATTACATAATATAGACCTAAGAAATAAAAAGTTCAAAATTTCCACGAAGTTCAACGAAAAATGCTCCATTTTACTGTGTAGTAGACATGGGGTAAAATCTTACAGTATATATAAGCAGTATGCTGCTGTGTATGCTGCTTATATGAGGGGTATCGAATCAAAGCCAGCTAAATCCATAGCCTGGTAGGTATAGAACTATGAACGCTATTTTATTCCTTATCCAAATTTGTACATGTTAGGTAAACCGTTTGGTATTAAACGCAGCTATTTTTTAAAGAAAAACCACTTCAAACTCACTCGTTAGAATCAAAGTCAGCTTTATCCAGTATTGTAAGTAACAAATGCAGCTAAGTCCAATTATTAATAAGGCATGTGTCATACAAACGCGTGCGTCCGTGTCTGCAGTTTTAATTAAAATTTTAAACCTTTTTGGTCAATTTTCAATAAAAAAGATAATATTTAGTGCCACGGAAGTGTCAGTAACCGAAGCAGCACAAGGAAGTGTTCGAAAACGTAAGATACAGCCTGCAAATGGGAAAGTAAACAAGGCAAAAATTGATAGATAAGTATAGAGTAGTGATGTACTCACTCTCAATCAGTTTCGATAAAACTGTTGCATTGCAGGTACACATTTCGCCTTTCAACAGTTTTTATTACATTTACTTATCGCATTGTCTGTAATCAAATCTTACATGTTAAATTTGATCGACATTCCAGTTTAAAGTTGAGTTGAAATGCACGGATGGCGTTTAGCGGTCGCCCGCCGCTTCCTACTACGCTGAGTAATGTGGGTAATACGCTAAGGATTTAGATTTGATTTTAGTATCTCAACTACGTACGATGAATAATTTTCTACTTTCTTAATAAATAATAAGGAAAAAAACATATGTCTATCACTTTGGCACATTCATAATCGTAACTTGTCATGCGTTTCAAACTTTCAATTTTATGGTTTCCTTATTAGCTAACGAACGTACTATAATCTAAAATATTAATTTTGCTTTGTATTTTCAAAATTCTGATGCATATCTGCTCTAATAACTCGATACCCAGAATCATCACGATACACTTCACTAGCAATAGAATTCTTGTTGGAATTAAAATCAGCTATATCCATACTAGTCAGAATCAGAGACAGCTAAATCCAGGACTTGGTATCAAAAACAGCTATGTCTAGCACAATTATTTAAGTTAAACGGTTACTTTTTCTGCTAATTATGATTGTGTTGAAAAACCTATAAAATCACTGCAAGCGCCTTCTGCCAAATAAATTATATCTACAGAGTTACCAAGTAAAAATTAAAAAAAATGTTTTTTGGTATTTGTGTCAAAAAGTGTAAATGGATTTAGCTGCCTTTGATTGTATATACTCTATATACTCTACCCTCTATACTCTAAGGGTAAAATACACAGTGAACTGTGATTTAATCATTCGATATTTGCATACGTAGCTTAGGGTTGCTAGGTAGATAGGTTAGACGCTTTTTAACAGTAAATCTAGTAGTTGTTTAATTATTATGTAGGGATTGGTAGCTATAAATAATAAAATAATTAATAGATTTACTGTTAAATACGCGAACTAAAGTGTTTATGCATCGTCTGAAAACAGCTTATTGGCAACAAAGCGTGAGTAACACCGGTCATTGTTCATTGTGATTTTATCCTATGTCTACTGTGTAGGTATAATATCATTTGGTCAGTAAATACACAATAATCACATTTAGATGAAAGCAAAAAAGTTAGATTTTTATATTAAACTAGCTGATCCGGCAAACGTTGTATTGCAACAAAAAAAAATTAGGGATGGGTCACCCTTACCATTCAAAATTGTGAATCTAAACCATTCCCAGATCCCCTTGAACACACACAAAAAATTTCATCAAAATCGGTCCAGTCGTTTGAGAGAAGTTCAGTGACATACACACTCACAGAAGAATTATATATGTAAAGATTATCATATTCTCCTTACGCACTGGCCACCTATTTGAGCATTGTGTAAAAAGATTTTAATCATCTTTTTAATTGTAGGCATAGCTCAAGTGTCCAAAGCTGTAACTTTAATCGAACACCGTTACACTTATAATCAAGTGGTCCAAATAACTTGCGACTTTGCGAGTCTATTATTTTATGCAATGTTGAACGATACAGTCGGAGTTTTCAGAAAGTAACCAAATGTATCAGAATACTACACATAAAACTACATATGTGTTACACTTTTATTATAAATTCTGGTTTGCTATATAATTCTTATATTGTATTTTTCTTTTAATGACACAATTTTCAAATCCAATTTTTTTTGGTTTGAGTTTTCCAAAGTTTATTAGTTATTAAGTTTTTGAACATACTTTGGAATTTTGACATATCTGCACACTGCATCTGACCTGATCTGTCAAAGCAGCTGTCAGTTATTGTCAAATCAGTCCAAGTCCGAAATCATGAAAAGTGCGAACGTTTGTTTGAGCACGTCCTACCTTTTCGCTTTCGGAGTATTTAGTTCCACTTTCACCGCTTCGTGAATGCTCATTACCGTCACTTTTAAATGTGTTGCGACTGAACACGGTCGTCTATCTTAACATTTGTTAGAATACTCATGCCATGGCGACTGCTGACACCGAAATGGCACATCGAAATTACTGTGTAGTGTTTATAATTTTCGCTCTCGCGATAGTTCAAGCCGTTGGTTACGACACGGAGTTGTATGAAACTAAGCCTTGCGACAGCAACGCGTGCTTCGACAAGCTCCATGGATCCTTAGGGGACTGTTCGTGTAATGTTGATACGATCGATTACTTCAATAACGTAAAAATTTATCCTCGTATCCAGAGTTTAGTGAGGAAGGATTATTTCCGCTTCTACAAAGTGAATTTGAAGAAAGAATGTCCGTTTTGGGCAGACGACAGCAGGTGTGCTATGAGATATTGTCATATCAAGACTTGTTCTAAGGAGAGTGTGCCAGGTTATGAAAACGGCTACGAAAATGAAGAACACATTGAAGAGTCGCCTGCAACAAAGTACTCTAAAGAATCTCAGTCTAACTGTGCCTCTGATACTGATCATGATCCAGATTTGGGTTATTTGAACATGACAATAAGTGCTGCCAGTCAGCATGAAATAGCTAAATGGAAGGCTCACGATGATGCTCTTGAAAATTTCTGTGAATGTGATGATAAAGATGTTGATGCGGAGTATGTGGATTTATTATTAAACCCTGAACGATTCACTGGGTACAAAGGACCCTCAGCTAATAGAATCTGGCGTAGTATATATCAGGAAAACTGCTTCAGACCTAAGGCAAATCCATATGTATCTTTTCCTTTCGTATTGACCTCAGATCTTAGTAATATGTGTTTAGAAAAAAGAGTTTTCTACAGAGCCGTGTCAGGTATGCACACCAGCATCAACATACACTTGTGTTCTAAATATTTATTGTCTGAAAAAACTGCTTCATTTGCTACATCACCAGAAGGTGAATGGGGACCTAATATAGAAGAGTTTCAAAATCGTTTTGATCCTTCACAAACATTTGGTGAAGGCCCCAATTGGCTGAAAAATTTATATTTTGTTTACCTTTTGGAAATGAGAGCTCTAGCTAAAGCAGGGCCATATTTGGAAAAGGAAGAGTATTATACCGGTAACGCTGTAGAGGATGAGGAGACACGGGATGCCATTAGTAACATGCTGGGTGTCATCTACTCCTTCCCGGATCATTTTAATGAGTCCTCAATGTTCAATGGTGGTAGTCAAGCTGCTGATCTTAAGGTTGAGTTTAGAGAACACTTCCGAAACATTTCCAGGATAATGGATTGTGTAGGCTGTGACAAATGCAAATTGTGGGGTAAGCTTCAGACACAAGGATTAGGGACAGCTCTGAAAATATTGTTCTCCAACAAGTGGAACAGTCCAGAAAGTGACTTGCATTTGACTAAACTGCCTGTGAGGCATAAATCTCATGAGAGACTACAAAGGACAGAGATTGTGGCACTATTCAATGCATTTGCAAGATTATCTGACAGTATAAGGCAATTGGAATACTTCAGGATTATGCTCAGGTGAGGTTTTATTAGATATGTAGTATATGTAGTTTGGACTGGATTCTATTCAAACTTTGACAATAAACATTATTGTATCATATGAAAAGATGTTTCAGAATAGATGCCAGTTGTTTCTACTAATTCATATATAAATCTATTTTGCTTGCAGCATAAAAGGAAACACAAAGAAAATTATTATCTAATTGTAAATATGTTAAGACTGAAGTATTGAATTACCTACAGTAAAGCTGAGATATGAAATAACTCAATAAATCATAAACATTTTTATTGAGTTATATCGCAATTGCATATTTGTAGCAAAATATTTTTATATTGGCTAATACTATTTTAAATTTAGAATATTGCATGCCATATAACAAAAAAAGAAGTGAAGTACATACTCGCCATTCAAAAATAAGATTATGTCATGCCTTAATGGTACCTATTACCTACTTCATTTATATATTTCTTAACAAAACATGACATTGTCTTAAAATTGAATGGCAGATAAGTATTTTGATATTAATATAATTACTGTAGCTTGAAAAGAAATTTTCACATAAAACTGCATGCTTAACAATATACTAAAACAAAATTAATTATATTTCTATGCTTCTAGTTCTCCTGAATACTGCTGTAAGTAGGGTATGGGTGTTTTCTGGGGTGTTTGTTTGTTTTTCTTAATAGATTTTGGGTAATTTTGGTCTTTGGTAAAATTTGAAAGTGTGTTTTTCCAATTTTATTTGCAACCATTCATCAAAAATCAATAATATTTTCATTAATTACTTAAAAAAATGGTCGACCGAAAAATAAATAAACATATTTCTTGTCCTATAAGACAAATAAAAAAACGTTATTGGAATCAATGAACCTAATTTAACATATTATACCGATGTTGCTTAAGTATCAAAAACATAGGGCATTATGGTAAATATTAGAAAATTATATTAATTCCATCTTCCTATGGGTAATTGAAAGCAAGAATAATATATATTAGGTCTTTACTATGAAGTTGGAGATTTGTATGTAAATTTTAAAATATAAAAATTTTAGTTATTTTGTTTATGTTAGTAGGTAGTATTTTCTTTATAGTAGTCCAGTACTGGTCACAATTATCTATTAAAAAAGCGCTTGACCAGTCGTGGTTGTTGAATTGCGAGCTTCTCCATCATTTTTTGCAGTTCTTGCCAATAGACATCATCACCATCATCTTTCTATGGGTAATCTTTTTACTAGCGCACTGAACAGTTGCTGTCCCCGGGTCCACCCACTATCCATCGCAGGTAACAATTCGATTCAGAATCCCCTCGTTTCCATGCCGATTCAGTAGTGCTATGCATGCTTCGACGCGTAAGTCTCGCTGATGGTCGCTTAGTTCGTGTGGCACCGACGTATCTAGTTTTTTTTATCTTTCTGATTTCAATGGTATTTATGACACTAACTCCAAAGCCCGCAGCAAGCTCAGCCGTAGATTGAGTTGGATCCGCTTCCATTATCTTGTGACTATACCTAGTTACCGGCCAACTGCGAGGCTCGTTCTTCAACTCAAAATTACCAGATCTAAAACGATTGAACCAATAATGGACCTTGTTTATTCAAGGCCCTTAATGTTTCGTGTTGTTTGCGGTATTTCCACGTAGGTAGGTAGGTATATTCCAAAATTCTACGAATTTTCAATTTATCCATGTCGCCAAAAACTACTGCCATGGCGCCAAAAAACGCAATTTCACAAAAACAAAACAGTATCTAGAACAAGTACTGAATTTTAATTAAATTGTTAATTTAATTTTAAATAAAATTTATTCAAATTTCTAATACCGCGCTAATCCACAGATAATTTAATCTGAAAATGCTGGTTTTAAAAATCTCCACAGGTAGAGACCTATTACTAGTGATTAAATTAATACATTTTTTTTATTTATAGTTTTTTCTCTTTTATGTGACAAATTATGTATATGTATTAACAATTCTATTCTCTAATTCCCTGTCATAAAGTTCAAAATTCAGTGCATGACATTTTATAGCTCACTGGTACCTAAACACGCATTATCACTTTCGTTATGTGAGTATTTGACATTTTATGTGTAAGTTTGAAAAAAATGATTATAACATAATGATTCACATAATTATGTAGTTTTCTAGATAAAAAAAAAGGGTTTTCACTATTTTCTTTTTACTAAGTGTTACACTTTTTGCAAAGTTCTAACTGGACCGACTTTTTGTAATTTTAGGTTGTATTTTAATCAATCGACTTTAGTTAGCTTACTTAGGTCATAAAAAATCTATTTGGGATTTTGTATAAAATAAGTCCTAAATCACTCGGCACAAATTAAAATATTAATTCTTATTTCTAAACTATAGAAAATGATTACCTGCCATATTTAAATTAACAGGAAATAAATATCTATCTAATCAGATTCGACACATTTAGTCTATGGCATCGCATCGTATGCAAATTCTTTTTAAAGAAAAACAATTGGAATACGTATTGTTTATACAGATGTTTGGAACAAGAAATTTAAAAGACACTGCGAAAAGTTATGACAATCGAAAGGATTATCCATGGTGCTCTTCTGATTGTCAGTGGCTTGCATTTCGTAAATATTAAAATATAGAAAGTGTTATACGAGTAATGCGGGTGGTCTTCACAAAGTTTATTGTTTGAAATTCCTTAACAAAAGAACCTCATCAATCCACCAATCAGAAAAAAAACAGTTATGTTGTTGTAAGTATTATAAACATTGGTATTTCGAATTCTGGAACCTCTTTAATTAAATTTAAAAACTTTATGTCGTAGATCTATTTGTAATTTTATCGATGGGTCATACGTTTCATTTTACACATACATAAAACGCCTAATTTATACAAATGTTCTACAGCAACATTTAATGTTTGTATTATTAAATGCAGTTTCGGAAAAAATGTTAATAATATTTTGTTTAGCTGTTCAAATAAAATAATGTAATTATAATAAAATAAAAATAAATATAAATAAAATAAAAATGTGTCTGCATGAATTTATCATGCAGACCCTGACCCATAGACCCTAATATACCAGTCACGTTACTAAATCTCTTTAGCTAAAAATCAAAATTAAATAACATTTTACTCAAACGGGGCATCATATCCAAGACCTTACCAGCGCTACTACTCGTAAATGTTCGTGTGAATAGGAAAGAAAGTCGTAGCTTGTGTAACGCTGACTCATTAGTAGGTTATTGTTATACATTTTATACTAGACATTCTCTTTCGTTTATTTTAACGTTGTTTTTTTTCTCTATGGTAGCAAATCATCATCATTAATACCGGTGGTAATGGTTGAACGTGCATTTTGTTACTGTAAAGTGGTTGTGTTTCCAATTCGAATATAATATGCCTCTCTTATTATATTTAGTAGGCTAATTTTCAAGAATACATGTCGCAATTACAACTATCTAAGCATTTATTAAATACTAGCTGGTAAATGCAACTTCGTTCGCTTGAAATTTGAGCGGCACTGCCTTAGTGGGTTCGATTCCCGGACCGGACAACATTTCAAGGGGTTTTCTGTGAGGCAAAATAACTTAGAAGAGAAGGAAAACTTGAAACAAACCCTATACCAACTCGTCTGGCCAGCGTGGTATAGTAGGCCAAAACCTCCTTTCTAGGGAGAGGCCTATGTCCAGCAGTGGACTAGTATAGGCTGTTGATGAAAATAACTTAAGTTACTCCTTATATAGACAGCTACCTGGTAAATATTACCAAAATCAGTTCAGCCTTTTAGAAGATTACCCAGAACAAATAGACAGACAAAAAACTGGTTTTTAGGCATAGGTATCGTGCAAATAACCGTGTGAGCATAAAAAAAACCTGTTATTTTGACATTATAAACACAATGACACTTCAATTTTATTTATTTGTATAGATTTATACGTGGGAGAGTCAGTGGTGCTAATTTTGTTGTTCGAAAACTCTCTAAATTAAACTAAAATTCCCTAAAAAAAAATGTAGTCCTGCCAAATTCTACGTTTTCAGAACAGGAAACGTTATTTGACAGGACGAAACAATTTTTTTAGTGATTTTTAGTTTAGTTTAGAGAGTTTTCGAACAACAGAATTAGCACCAGTGACACAAAAGCGGTGCTAAGCATTTTTTGTCGCTTTTCACCGAGTGATTGAGGTTACCGGAGCCCGGACTCCGCCCCGGGGTTCGCACCTATGCACTCATGACGCTACGCACTCAGGACTCTACGCACTCATGGCTCTATGCACTTGTGTCTCTTTGAGTTGCAGATTTTTCTGGTCAGCGGTAGTTACTCACCGTCAGGAGCCAAGCCAATACTAAAAATACCGGGCTATGGTCACATTCTCAAACAATACTCGGTTAAAAGTGTGCTTAAGTTTCGTTCTATTGTATAATTGTGAGGCTAACGCTACTTATGTCTTATACTTGATTGACGTTTAATTTATTTGGCATTATTAAGTCCTGTTAATCATTTATTTTTAATTTTCTTCGTTGTTCTGTCGATAGTAATCGATTTGTTCTCGTGTGTGGCATGCGTTTGGAAATTCCTCACAACTGTTGAATTATTTATAATTATTTTGTTATCACTTAATAATGAATGTCATCGAAATTTTCTAGATAGTTAATCACCTCTACAGGTACCTTAGAGTATAAATTTATAGATGAACACTAAGCGTGTCTGTGTGTGTGTGTTTAAGCGGTCACCTCACTGCTTCCTACCTCGCAGTGTTGTGGGTTCAATCACTTTATAGCACAACACTGTGTGATCCACAAGTTTTTGTCCGAGTGTTCTTTGTGTTCGATACAGGTATGTTTGTGAAGTCCTTTGCGTCACAGGATATGTTACTAGTGAGGGAGTCGTCTTTAAAAAAAATTAGTAGCAACAAAGTACATATTTTTTTATTTTTTTAGGTTACCTGTCAAGTAGCTATTTAAAGCTAGGGACTCCTTTACAAAGGCTATGTATTTAAATATGCAAAACTAAATTATAATAAACAAAAACAATATAAGACAACCATTTCAAACATATGGAAATAAAATCTGCCAGGACGTGTGCTTATTTGGACTTGGTCGATATCAGAAATATAACAATATTACTCTATTTGACTATCGAAAATAGAACTGATTGTAATAGGCTTTTTGCGGTCTCATCAACAATCAGTCTCATTACAGTAGCCCCATTCGTAATTATTCAAGAGTGATAGATATAACGGAGACAAGATGCCTGTTTTTGGCAGTAGTGTCCTAATAATTTACTTTTCTATCCATAAATCATAATCGAGTTCAAGTGGTTTAGTATGCCTACAATAATTAATTACCTAAAGGGATGCATAAAGTAAAGCTTCTTGAAATAGATAATTTATGAACTCATTTAAGTGCATATATGCGGGAAGTTTTGCATAAATTATCGCCTAACAGGTAAACAATGGTAAAAAACAATACGTGGTTTGCGCTGGTTGGGTCACGTATTTCGTGAGTAGGTGGCCCGTGACTCAGAGCTCATCTTTTATATGACGCAATGTCTAACGAAACTCGCAAAGTTTGCAAGGGAATAATTTTATTAAAACTGCTTTGAACCCACAAGGGGTTAGGTAACGTTAATTCATGTGGTGGTTGTGGATACATGGAACCTGCAAACTTTGCGAGTTTCGTTAGACATTGCGTCATATAAAAGATGAGCTCTGAGTCACGGGCCACCTACTCATGAAATACGTGACCCAACCAGCGCAAACCACGTATTGTTTTTTACCAACAATGTGAAAGTTTTTTGTTAGTTCTTCGACAATAATGAATAGTTGAAGTTAAAATGCACGATCAAAAGCTCTATCAGTTTCAACAGAGGCTTTCTTATAAAATAAAATAAAAATGAAATTGACTAAAAGGAAACTATATAATTCAAAAGAATAAATTTAAGTGAGTTAAGAGTAGTCATATTAATATTATATAAAGCCACATTGGTTACGTTTTAAGAAGGCGCCTAAAAATAATACCAGATAGACTAAAGATATTGTTAGTCAGATTTTTTCCAACATAACATTTATTTGACCAACCCGTCTGGCTAGGGTGGTATAGCAGGCCAGAACCTCCTTTCTAAGGAGAGGCTTATGACCAGCAGTGGACTGTTATAAGCTATTGTTGTGTTCACTCGGAATTGGAGTTAGATCGCGAGCGATTATTAAGATAAACTACTAGTCAAACTATAGTTAACACCAGTACAATACGTATTTCTGCTATGCTATTTTATCACATACAGAATAATACTATTGCTTTTTTCCCATCTGAAATACGAAACTATTACCTTGACTGATATGCGATTATGTATATTTTGCACGTTCATTAATGTTGTAATCGACTAAATATGTTATGTAGAGTTTTATACATGTAGTAGTAGTGTTGTGTATTTTAATTATGGAATTCTCTGTAAAACAGAAGATCAAAAGGGACTACAAACTCCTTAAAGTGACTATTAAAAAAGAAAAAGAAACAGGATATATAAATATAATCTTTGGTAAATCTATTAAAACTTTTTGAGTATACATACTTAATATGATATTTGAGTATTGAGTATTTGACATTGAGTATACATACTTAATATGATATTTCCATGTAACATTGATAAGCTATAAAATTAATCTAGTATCAATTTTGCGGTATTAACTATTTACATCCGATACGGTATCATTAAATGCAATATTTTAATTCTTAAATGAGTATATTTATAATTTTTGTATGTCGTGTTTGACACTTGTTATTTTTGCTATGGATTTTCGGCATTCCTTTTATTTCCTTATTGTAAATTTTTTTAAGAATGGTGTTACTCAAGCAGGTATCTCAAATAGACATACTCATCGACATGTGTATGTCTATTTGAGATCTTTAAATGATACGTATTATAACTCGAATCTACTTTGTAAATTTGTTCAAGTGTGAACGTAAAATATGTAATCAAATATCAAAGTTTTGTTTCATTCTTTACTTCATGCATCAAGTTTGACTTTTTAGTTGACATCCCATATGAGTGGGTTAGTCTTTTTTTTTTAGTTTTTTAAACGCTGAGGAATATTATAAAAAAGGTATACCATATCTTTCAGATGAGTAGCTTTCATAGCAATTTCTACTTCAATAAATTCAATTTGATTGTTTGCAAGGAATCATTCGGACCGAGAAAAATTATGTGAAGAAATTAAATGTAGTCGTTGGTAATGTGTATCTATAAATGTGGTCACTAATCGATTTCTTTACAACACTATTTTTAATTTAATTCTTTTAGTAGAGAATGTATTTTTTTTTTGGTAACTCAAGAGGATTGATTTGTCACGATTACGATTATTTTTTAACATTTATTAATTATGCTTAGGTATAGTTATTATATATTCAATAAGTTTGAATTTTAAAATCGACTTCAAACATCCGTCGCCCGTATTTGTTCCCTCAAAAGTCCGTTTTCGTAATGACGAATATATTTTGTTGAGATTTGATGATATTTGCCAAATTATATGAATCAAAAGCGTTCCTCGAAATTAACAAAATATATAATGTAAAGATTGAACGATTACATTATCTTATAATTCCATTAACGTGGGAAATATACATATACCTTGTATCATAGGTTTAGTGTTGACAAATAACTGCTTTATATGGGAACGTTATTGTCGGCGGGTGTTGATTGTATAACCTGGCGGAGCATGACTGATGAGACCGCTACCACCGTACATTCAATAGGAGATATCTACATTTACCTTGTTTCTGTCATATGCCGATAATACTTGTGTTGTCATTGAGGATGCGAAAGATAAGCGATTCTAGTTTGACATAACGCGTATAATTTATTCAGAATAATGAGCAATACACACTTTTTATCCTACAAAACCAGGAGGTTTATGTTTTTAAGTACCCATAAATTTTCACCCCTTTTTGTTTTTTTTAATACTAAGCTTTTATAACTGCTTTGGTTTAATTTCAAACCAAATAGTAAACATTAAACTAAATGTCATTCAATCCATAAGTAAAATGCACTTTAATTATGCACTTTAAAATGTCTCTTCGCGTAGATTGATGAAAACGCTAGAAGCCGTGTTGCTCATTTGTCATGACGTCATAGCGGTAGTAAACAACGATGATGAGGCTAGTGAAAACGACAAATAATTGCAATTTAAAAATAAATTACTGTCCTTGGGATTACCAATAGGGATGAACCATACATAGATGGATATTTTAACACTCCGTAATTTAAAAGAATTAATATCTAAGCTTTTGTCAAAAAACCTTAAGAGTTTTTTTCGGTAGATTTGGACTTTTTGCCTACGTCAAAAACCGTTGACGTAGTCTCTTTACGTAGTTTTTTTTTTTTTTTTTTTTATTTTTTGTTTTAACTTCGTTCTTTACCAATGTAATGACGTTATGTCATGGCGTCTTGCGTTTCGCATATTTGTGGTACAGATAAAAGTGAAAAGTTAGAATTACATTATTAAATTCCTTTCTGAGCTTATGCACTGAAACTAACATTTTCCTAGGGGCAATTGCGAAAAACTCACTTATTTTATTTTTAATCATTACATTTAAATTTTCAATTATGGTCTAAAGTGAATAAGATGTTAATTTTTCAGGGTTATTACTCTTTTAGAAATATAATTGGTAGGTAATGGTAGTAAAACATTATGTTATTATTATCGAGTTCATAAAAAAATATTAAGAATTTAGAAGGTGGTTCCATAATGCCCTAAAAGGGAAAAGAATGGAGGATCACTAACTTGTTACCGTTTATATGTGATCAATTTTAAATTCTCAAAAAATATACTTATTTGTTTGTGTAGGTGTATTTGAGATATTATTTTAGTGTATCAGTTAACGGTAGTTTAAAATACAATAAGTATATTTAATATTTCACTAACAGATATCAATAGAAGTAACCCTACTCCCTTATTGTACCCTATTCTGAATGTTTCCATGCATGTTTTATCCAAGTCTCAGCATTAGCTACTGCATGATTATTTATAAGAAGATATTTTGGCAAACAGTAATGCAAAATTAAATATTTTTACACACAGCACGCAAAAGGAAGACAGTCAGAAACCAAGCTTATTCGGAAGTTTCCAGGATACGAAGTGAGAAGACAAATGGGAATCTAGAATAATGATAGATATAATATTATTGGCGTTATTAGGAATGTGTTCCTATTATAAAATATATTAAGGCTGCTTAGTTATACATTTAAATTGTGTAAATCATTTTACAAAATGGTTTTAGAAGCTTTCGTCTTTAATATTGAGAATAGGTTTAGGATTGAATTGCTGCGATTTTGCTGAAATGAACATTAGGTAATTTCTGAGTTTAAATCGATGAATCCATTCTCAAATACTTCTTTTAACTCTTCCTTCCTTATTCTTGCCTTCATTTTATTATTAGGATCTCTGATTTGTAGTAAAACTTCACGAGCAATGGCAGGAGACTATTTAGTTACTAGTTGAAGCATGTTTTTAAAACGAATGTGCGATAAATATTTCTTCCTTATAACGCCAATTAGAAATTCATCACAAGACTTAAAATATTTATTGAAAACCCAGTGTGGTGGTGAGCTTAATTTTTATACAGGGTAAAGCTAAACATCGGTTCTTATCGTGAGTACTACGGTATAATTGTAGTTAGTTGCCGTGATTGCGGTCATTAGGCCAATCAATAGTTTTATGATGTTTTTAGACCGATAAATCACTATAACTTCCGAACGTACCTATATTTTAGCCAGGCAATATAATTTGCAAACGTTTTCCGCCATACTTGTTTGAGGTTTTCTCTCGCCGATTGTATGTAAAATATGACCATGAGTTTTTATCGTTAGGCGCAAGGAAATGTAAATAAGTGTAGATAACGATGAAAAAAGGTTCAGCTGTTTTTATTATTTCGCTACTGTTCAGAGAGTGTCGATTTGTGTTTTGAAATAACCAATTCAGTGAAGCATCTGGCCCAATTCAACTGACAGAATTTAAGAACTCTTAAAATAAGTTTTACTTCAAACTTTATAGACATTTTTTTCAAAATCTGAAGTTGATTTTGTCACTTTCAGATGTTCAGCTTTGCCCTCACTATTCTCTGTGTATAGAATAAGCCTAAATGATAAGTCTATCGTAATTTAAAAATAAAACGGTAATAGAAATAAACCATGATTGTAAGCTACTCGTCTGCATAACTTACAATTTTCATCATGACATTCATTCAATGACATCTAGATAATTTTTATTAGTCATCATCTTTCTAAGGAATAATAATTAAATTAAAGTTGACTAATAATAGAGTAGGCAGGTCGATGCCAGGTTTGGATTAAATACATGTTAAGATACCATACGTCAGAAACAAAAAACACTTCGTCAAAAACAATCTAATTTTAAATCTGTATGTTCATTTCGTGGACATCGACATACCGTAACGTCAAACTTTTGACGGCTTCAGAACAATGTCGGTGTAATTTTTTTTTTGGAAATTGATTACAAACATGTCACAAATACATTATGAATACATTAGCAGTATGAAATTTAATTAAACATTTTAATCAGTTACTGTAAACAAGTTACTTAATACTAAATTAATTTATTCTTTAAATATTTTGTATTTAATTTATTTGTCGGTGGTAGTGTACAATATATTTTTAAATAAATAGAATAGCGAGAAAAATCGTGTCAAAGAGAAGCTTTTACTCGAAATATTCAGGCTCGGGAATATGAGAGAGAAGCCAGAAGAATATCAAACAGGTAGTATAAATGAACTCATGTTGCCAATAGTCTCGACTAGCATAAAATTTATAAAATTATGAACATTTGGAATTGAAACATCAGTTATTGAAGTATATTCAAGTCTTTTGGGCGTATTTGATACGAATCCAATCGTAATTGGCCGCTACCCAAACGCATAGAAATATATTCAAAGCAAAATTTTAGTACTTCCTTATCAGTGAACAGTTGTTCTAAATTTGTTGCACCGTGAAGCATTACGTTGGTGTTTTAAGATTTTTTTTTATTTGCAATTCATTACTGTATTTTGTAACACACGAAGGCAGTCAAAGAAACTTAATTTAAACTGAATTTTACCAGAAATATTTTTTTAAATCCAAAAGTAATCTTAGATTTACCGCTTAAGGGTATTTACATTTTAGTTTGAATAGAACTTGCCTAAAATGTCTCATCATATAATATGCACAGGGCGAACACTGACCGAAAATTATAAAGAAAAGTGAAAACAGGTACCTACAAAGTTAAAAACTTTATTTTTCTGCGAATCTGAGCGAGATTATTTTACTAATTATATTATTATGTTTACGAACATAATAGAAACATGTATGAGGTATGTGGCTCAAACAACACGTCAACAAGAAATGATTTTCTTTTTTGTGGCTCTGGCTGTGTTGCCTGTTGTTGGCTGTTAGAAATATTACTAATATTTACAATATTATTTTATTTTTCTGTGCAAATGATTTGAGACCACAATTATATTTTTGATATTTTTTTTGCGATAGTTATTCATTGTCATAATAACACGTTGATGTACAAATGTTTTATTTGTTACATGTACAAGTTATGTTTGTGAAATTCTTACATTTATTTGTAACATCGAAGGAATAATATTTTAAACCTTTTTTTTAACTCGTAGATTTTTAGTAAATGGATACTCGGTTGATAAAAAACCCTTAGTCACAAAAGTCGATTGTTAGCAAGTTGTCACAGTTTATTAACGACATATTGTTTGTCTGTGATTTTAAAGTTAAATGTCATGACAAAATTATTTTTTATTTATTTTTAACTTTAAATAAAGCGATGATTTAATTTTATATGTTGTTTTATTTAAACCTAATCTAAACGACTATTAAAACGAACAATAAAACACTAATTGTGTGTTTTTGTCAATAATAAAATTAATGGCTGATGTTTGCTGTGTTGTTTGCACTAACATATAAAAAACTTTTCAGTTTGAAATCATATTTATTTGGTGTTTCAGGTCTCACCAAGATAAGCGTGTACAACCATTTTTGCAATGCGCTCACGGAACCATTTGAAGTCAGAACATTACAAATCGCAAAACAGTTTTCGTTGTAATTTGTTCTCAGTCAGTCATTTAATATATTATGAATTTATTTAGCTTTTAAAATGCTAGTTTAGTTTGTAATAAATGCCCCGTCTTTGCTTTAAAATATACTTTTGAAAAGATTCTTGTTTTAGTTTTAGGCATTGAGATCGTAAGACACAACTCTATAAACAGCGGTAAGTGTTACATATTTAGTTCTATTAGACCATCAACTACAATTTCACTGAATTAATTCATCAGTTTAAATTATTCGACAAAGTTTGCAAACAAAGTAAGGGTTTTGTTTAAATTATTTTGTTTGGCGTTTTTGATTTAGTGTTTTTTAGCCAAAACGAACAGTGTGTAAAGGCACGAATTGGCTACGAGATACGTCATAGTGGACTTCAAAAAACCAAACTAAACTCCTACCGGGTCCAAATATGAATCTGAACCAAAACACAATCAGTCCAACGGATTAGCAGCAGTTCAATGACATAACGTACAGAAGACACACTTCTCTGTTTAAGATAACATAAACATAATGCTGTTAGATTGTTCATATTTCTATAATTACAGTCTAATTAAAATACAGTTAAATTAAAACCGTCTTTCAAAATCTATGTTAATATCTAATAAACATCTGATGCATCACAAAAAATATTTGTTATTACATAACTCCTGCATGAATTTTACGGCCACTGCGGCCAACTACGCTGAGGTGTGACTCAAAACTCACGTGCACTCATTATTCCGTTACATTAAATCTCCGATGATTACGTACTTAATTGTAGATCCATGTGGATTCCGTGGGGCGACGGATTAAGAATACAGAGTGTCGTCACTCCTTTTCATCACGAAGGTGTCGTAAGAGCCGACTAAGGGAGCAAAATACGCAAGACAACTGCTCTGCAAAGAGAAGGAAAAAGGTGTAAAGGAAAACTTGAAACAAACCCTATACCAACCTGTCTGGCCAGCGTGGTACAGTAAGCCAAAACCTTCTTTCTAAGGAGAGGCCTATGTCCAGCAGTGGCTATTAAAGGCTGATGATGTGATGTGATGATGTATATCTACAATAACGCCTTTTGGCTCCTATCTCCCACTCTAGGCTCTAGGTACCTCGCTACTTTTTCCACCAGCGGTAAAAATATTAATAGTAATAACGCAACATGAAGTTTGATAATTCAGAGGCTATCGAACTTTGGGTACTGTTTTATTTGCTGTCATTGTCTTAGAAGACTATATTACAATAAAAAAAGATTAAATACCCCAGTTCTTACGTAGAAATATACAACAGGTGGGCGTAATTGCTGTTTTTGCGACTTAACAATATATTGCATCATCATATCGAGTCATTTCTGGTTTTAAATGCCGTGGTGTCTGCGTGACCAGCCGTGCATTCTACAAAAAGACCAGTGACAAAGCAGTCCTTAAGTACGTAGGTTATGAAATGATAAGGCTTTGAACATGCCGAATGTTGTGTTCATAGATTGTGCGTCATAGGCTTACGTGTAGGTAGTTAACGGCTAATTTGCCTTTTTTCTTTTAGTACTGGATTTGGTAGCAGACTTGTACGGCATTATAGACAGCTTTGTAGATAACAATCATTTATGTCCGGTCAAGGTTGTCATGTTTATATTGTATTAAATTGTACTCTTTTGTATTCGTTACACTAAACCGCCTGCTTCGTTCATTGATTTTCGTGTTTAGTTTTTGTTTTTTCGTTTCAGTTTTTCGTGTACCGTAAGTGACTGTCAGATCATAAAATTCGACGGGATAACAGATGCTACGATAGTTTTTCATAATGTAAGATAGACACCATCAGAAATAAGCAGGCCTTTAATTTGTGTGCCACATTTGTGTGACTTGAAGGTTTAACACATTCTTAATAAACTCCTTCCTCAAAGGCCGGCAATGCGCTTGTGACTCCTGATTTGCAGGCGTTCATGGTCGGCGGTAGTCACTTTCCATCAAGCGACCTGTCTGCTCTTTCCCCCCCCCCCCCCCCCTTCTTCCATAAAAAAACTGATTTTGAAGCTCTATTTCTACATTTTCTTAGGGTG